CATTCGTGGTTAATAAGGTGAAAATTTTTTTCATCAAAAATATTTGAGAAGAAAAAAAAGAAAATGAAGATTTTTGTAATAAGATTTATAACAAAAAAAAAATTTTTTTTTTAATTTGATTTTGAGATAGAATGATGATATTAAATTATATCATTCTTGTGAATGAATGGTGCACTATTAACCAATTATTAAGCTCTTGCTCGAAAAAGTAATAACGTTTTTTTTTTTTTTTTTTAATGTGTCATTTGATGGATAATGATGTAAATTGTACATATTCCAATATTCTGTAGCATATATTTTATTTCCCTGTAGACTGGAATTTTGTCTATAGTAATGACTAGATGAAAAATTTATGCATTGAATTCCTTTTTACCCTATAATTTTAGAAGCAATAATTTTTTTTTTTTTTTTCAAAATATGACTTACGTAAATTTGTGAAACTATTATGAGCAAAATTGATGATTTGATCTAATTTTATATCATTTCTAATGCAGAAAAGAATGAAACATTTCAATTTTAAATGAAAGTAGTATTGTATGATGATGATATGGAAGATCTCTAATTTATATTACAAATAATAGTTTGATTTTATCACCCACTAACAACAATTTCCCATGGATATTTACTTTGAATAAATGAATTCATTTAGGATTAGCAGAAAATTTAAAATGGTAACTGAACAGCTTTACGAAATTGCCATTAAAAGAGGTATAAACAACAAAAAAAAAGAGGAAGTAGTAGAAATTAAAATGGAAAGTTTTTTTTTTTTTTGTTTTGTTCTAATACATTTGGAATGTAATTGCTTTACCTAATCGTTTTCAGGTGTATGATTTGATGGGATAAATTTTAACAGTAAATTTATCAACTATGATTAGATTTTAATTTGAAAAAATTAGGGTATTCTAGATTTTCTAAATATGGAATGTTTATAAAAGGATAAAAATATGAAGTGAACGAAGTACAGTAGGATAGCTTTTAGGTGTGAAAATAAGGCATATTAAATGTCTACTGCGATAAACTTTTGGCTTTCTGTTGTTTATATTTTATGCAAATTTCAATAATGCTTCAAAAATTCGCTCTTTTTTTTTTCTTTTAATGATATCATAATTATATAGCTTACAGGTTTTTTTTTTTTTTTTCAGCAGTATTTATTCAATATGTAAACACTAAATCATACATCATTGATTATTAAAACATGATTATGACATAGCATTACTTTTACAATTTTTTAGTACTCATTATATAAAGCTAGAGTTTTTAATAACTAACTTGCAAGATGGTTAGTTATTAAAATTTGAATAAATGATATTTATTTTAAGTTTTAAATAGTGATATTTGACTAGTAGTAGTTTGAATGTTTACTTTTCAGTGCAAAACCCTAACTGTTCAATGCTTCTTAACTTAGTTGCTCTCTATGAATTTTTAATATTTTGCAAATATGAGTGTTTGTTTAAAGTGAGAGAGCGAATTATATTTATCTGATTAGTACTTCGAGTTCATCCTAAAATGCAACTGACAATTTGAGTTAATTGGTAAAAGTTTTGGTTGTGTATAGTTTTTCTTTTGGTTAAGCCAGCAATGATGAAGTTGAAGTGTAAAAAAAATTGGATCAGCAATAAATAATTGCTAGTGTTACGAATAGTGTGCACTTTGAATTCTTAGATACAATATTTCTCACAATTCTTTCTTCCTTTCAATTTTTCACTCTTCTCTTTCAAATCTTTGAAAATCTTTCATTTAACTATTATAGAATCATTATTTTATTTCAGTTTATCGATATTTGTGATATTTGAGGCCCAAGAAAGGAAGGAAGAAATTAGCATTGAAATTTGCTTCACAGATAATAAACAGAAATTTTTGGTTGGAGTTGGTTCTGACTAAATAAAACCAACTGGGAATTTTTTGAACTAAATGCAAAATTTTAGAGAAAAAAAAAGAGGAGTGAAGTTAATTAAATAAAATAATCGAAAAGTTTTCATCTCACTATAAATTTTTATTATAATTGAGATTTTCAAAAAACATAAAAAAGTGATAGTATGATTAGTTGGAAAATTTAGTTAAGCGAATAAATGGGTTATGTGGAAATCGTTTAAAATTCATTAAATCGTTTGGAAAATCTGAAATTTATGAATTATCTAACTTAATCTTTTCAAATTATGAAGTGCTGAAAAACTTAGCTGTATAATTAGATTTCTCTTTTTTTTTTTTTGAATGCTCATTTGGACAGCTTACAAATTTTGATAACACATTCCTTCGTGTAGTCATCTTTTTGTTTTGTTATTCAGTTCTTGAGTAATAGTTATGCTGTTTATTATGCATAGGTAAATTAGCCTACAGGAATACTCTTAGTAATGAATGCGTGGCATTCGGAAGTCTTCGAAAAAAAAAAAAAAGAAAGGATAAAATTTGTTTAACTCATAGAACTGATGGCGGCGACTGAACAAGGGGGGTTTAAAAAAAGAAGGGTAAAGAACTGCATTTAATGATTGTCAGCTGCTGATGATTGATTTTGTAATTATCATTGTTTACTTTTGAATTTGATTTATTTTACATCAGTATTTTATGTTCTAAATTTTGATTGAATTAATTACGTACATATTCACTCGTCGGTATATTTCAAATGAATAACTTCAAAGAAATGAAGAATGATTGTTTGAATTTTTTGAAAAGAATTTTTTTTTTTTTTGTTAATGCATAACTTGCTTACTTACATGGACTGTTATCTATCCAAACATATATATATATATTAGTAAATTAATACTATTTTATATTTTAGTTGATTTCGTTAAATTTCTCTAATATAACCAGAAATTTGTATTAGTGACATGAATTACATGTTATTTTTGATTAATTAATTTCCAGTTTTGTCTGAAACTGATTTAATTGTGCAATCTAATGATTGCAAAATAGCAGTTTTTAGATTTGATATTAAAATAAGCCTTACCTGTCAGTGATATTATGAAGTAAATTAAGTTTGCTACAAATTGCTACTATGATATCATTTTCATGAAACTTGCGTAAAATGATAATTGAATTATATGAGTTGACTTAAAAACTGTCAAATAATTACGCAAGTGTAAAATTTTTATAATCTAAATATTTTTCAAACAGTTAGACAACAAATAATAATGGGAAGTCAAAAATGTTAATAACAGCAAAATGTAGTGGTGGAAATAGCTATTGCATAACATAAAATGTATCGAATCAAGTAATTTATGAAATTATTTCTGATGTCTTAACAAGCTTGGAAGTTAAGACAGCATTGACATGTAAAGGTGGGAATTCTAATGAATTTAAGAATAGGGTGAGATTTTTTGTTTTGTTTTTGAAGAGAAAATAATGCTTTTTATCTTTTATTTTTATTTTTGCTTGAATTTTTTCACCTTTACATACATTCTTTTCCTTTGCACTCCCAAAAAAAAAAAAAAAAAAAAGATTTTTTCTAGTGAAATTGCTGTTTCGTTTTGAAAAGAATGAAGTTATTGTTTAATTTGTCATTCTTTTTTATCCATTCCATCTTTTCAATCTTCGTTTTTTGCAGTTTTAATAATTATCATAGATGTATGTAATTCCATTCATGATAAGCATTATATTCAGCAAAGGTAGTGGTCAGAAGGATAATTTTAAATTCAAATGAAAATAATGAGTATTTTAAAATATCAATCAAATAATCATACTCTCCTTTTGCTATATAACGCGCAAATATATATGAACAAACATATGCATAAATATATATATTTATTTATTTATTTATAATTATGTTGACGTTTCTCCAATTTCTCCAATATAATTCTCTCTATAATTTAATATAAATCTATCATTCTAGATCTAGCTACAATCAATTTCCGATCCTTAAGATCATGGGTTTGCCAATCTGTGGTATCTTTTGAGATATATATATATATATATTTTTTTTTTCAATTTCTTTACTCATCCATAGAGTTTTGCTCATTATCATTATTATTGATATTGCAACAATTAACTGCTAAACTGCTAACTGCTGTTGATTTTGTTTACTGCTGTTTGTTACAGCTTACCGCAATCATTGCATGTGGTTTGTTTAAGAGCTGCTCCTGAATCATCAGCAATTTATTTCAGTTGAAAACACATTTCATATAAAGCGATTTTTATTTCACTTCCTTTTTTCGTCTTTTGCCTAGCTTCATCATTTAGTAATATTTTACATTGATTAACTAATGCAATCCAATAAATGTGAAATGTTTAAGTTTATTAGATTTATTCCAATCTTCCATTATCATTCATTCCATTATAAAATGCATTTTTTTTTTTTCTTTAAATTTAATATTGAGAAATAAGACAAATGCGAGAAAATTAGCAATTTCTGCATATATTTTGCAAAATTTCATGTGCTTTGATACGGAATATTCCAAATAAGAGAAAATAAAGGAAAAGAGAGAATTACATTTCGTTATTTCTCATCAATTTTCTATTTTCCTTCATAATATAGAGTTGAAATATAATCTGAGAATTTTAAATATAATTTTGCTAAGAGCTAAGTTTTATTAGTTTTTTTTTTTTTTTTTTTTTTTAATTTTCTTTCTTTGAGATCTTTTATGAAAGTGATTCCATCTGTATATAGGGTAATTCATCTATAGTTTTTGCTTCAGCAGTGCTATTATCGTGGGTCTTATAAGTTATTATTATTGCTTCTAATTATTATCCTTCATTCATCCATTAATTCAACAGTTTGAACTAAAAGATGAATTAACAGAAATCTATTGACATCTATTAAGGTATAGATTCTCGATTATATGTATTCAATATTTCGATTTTTTATTTCCATCACCATGGAAATAAATACCATTCCTGTCTAGCTAATATAATTGGAAGCGAATATTCCTAATTATTTCTATTTCATCATTCTTTTTTTTTTTTGTACTCCCTCTTTCTTTTAGCTTATCAAGTTTAAAATTGATTGAAAAAGTTGAATTTCCGAATTAAATTTGTTGCATTATTCCTTAGCTATTATAAATAATAAAATGTTGCGTTATTCGAAATCAATACGTTCACGTACGCAATCACTATATCGGGATGCTAAGCGACGTTTTAATAAATCAGTTCGAAGTCATCAATCAAGTGGAAGGGAACCGGTTTGTTTGTTTGCTCACTTTTTGTGGATTTCTGATTTTGTTTTTTTTGTTTTTTGTTTCTTTTTTTTTTTGAAATAGTTGCTACTGAATGTTATGTGAATTGTAATTTGCTCTTTCATAAATAAAATTTCGAATAAGCTTTTTGATTACCATCCTTTTTTCAGAAAACTTAATTAAAAGTATTTTTGTTTATCTAAAGTTTTCATGCTAAAACTAGCTATAAAACAATGAAGAGAATACGAAGAATGAAGGAAGAAAAGAGAGAGAGAGAGATAGACTGACAGACAGAGAGGGGGAGGAAGTAAATGAGAAGTTATTGGTATTCTGATTAAGTAAATTTAGTGAGGCTACTAAATTGAAAATGGCTCAATCTTTTATTCAATATTATGTGTCGTCTGAAAAGTGACATAAATTTAATGAATATTTCATTACATTCGTTATCAAAACGATAACTTCTGTTGAAATTAATATTGAAAGTGGAATTATGTTTTTTACTATAAATATTCTGGAGTTTTTATTATATATTATTTTGGACCATTCTTCTTTAGCTGAAATTAACAGCAAAGATTTTTGAATGATTAAAATTTAGCTAATAGAATTACTAGACAAAATATTTTTAATTTAGCTTATGGTAAAGAAATATCAGCTATTAAAGGATGTATCTATCATTTGTATCGTCATGACGAGTTTAAGAGAAATTATTTTATTGTGGCTATAGTTGTCTTTTTTTTTTTGTTATTTTTTTTTTTTTTATTTCTACACAACATTTGAGTTGTACTTTTTGAAATGTTCAATTCAAGCATTAGTTCCAATACTACAGTTTATGTTTTTTTTTTTTTTTTTTTCTTGTTTTAGCTCGGAATCTAATTTGATAATGATGAAAAATAGTAACAATAGCTTATAAGAATTATTTTAATTTCTAAAAATGCCAATTATGGTTCAGAAAGTTTTGAAGTATCAAATAAAAATAAGTCTAAAAATGCCAATTATGGTTCAAAAAAAGTTTTGACAGAGATCTTTGACCTTTGACTTTTTTATGAACATACTAAAGATTCATTTTTAGAAAAAAATTTTGTTAGAGTTAGAGTATAAGCAGATCAACACAAAAATTTTTTTTTTTTTTTTGCAAAAATCATTGCTCAACAAATAATGAAGCCATTAAATAATCAAATTGTGCTGTGGTTTGAAAATTTTCAAAAAACTCGAGAGGAAGAAATTAACCTTGGAGCGCAATGTGTTATTTATTTTTAGGGTCATAATGAAGGTTGTGTAGCTGTTGATGATTTCAAGGCAACCGAGAAGGGACAACTTTCCGTCACCAAGGGACAGCGAGTTGAGGTTAAATTCCGTGTGTGTTTGTACGTATATGCCTGACTTGACTTTTACCGGATCAGTTCTATTTCAGAAATACACTGGGATTTATTTTTTTCCTTTGCAAGAAATAACTTTTTTCTAGATGTTAGGCTAATACTGTAATAGTTCCTTTTCTTGTTAATCTCCTAAAATGGTTGCATTTTATTATTTTCAGTTATTAAATGAGTTTAAAATTTTTATTTGGTAATAAAATAAAGCGAAGAAGGAAAAGCAGATAAAAACGAATGTATATCTCCTATCTCCTTTTATGTTTCATTTTCATATGCGTTTCTGTGTTTCATTTTTTCATACGATGGATTTTTTTTTTTTCTTTTGTTTTAAATTAGAAGAGGGAGGTTTGTTTATGTTTGTTTAAAGCATGTTTTCATTTGACTGTTATGACTTTTTCTTTTTTTTCTAAGAAATTTTTGATAAAACTTCGAGCGGAAAAGGCAAAAAAATTATTCGTAGTTAGAGAGTTTTTTTCAAGACATTTTTTAAGCTTTTAGATTTTACACGTTCTCTTATATTTTTTTTTTTTTTTTTTTTTTTTGATAGATTCGCCACTTCCTTTCATTTCTGTATATTGTTATATATGTAGACTGCATGAATATTCAATAATTCGAAAAAGCAAAATTCCAGGTGATAGAATATTACGGAGATGCACCGGAATGGGTGCTTGTTTCGATTACTTGGGAAAATGGTGAACAGCAACGAGGACTTGTACCTTGTTCGGTTATTTCATCTGTAGAACCAACAGGTTAGTTTATTTTCACAATAATTTAATTGCTTTTGATGCAGATTTTCACAGTACATTCGCATTTGCTTTTTCTTTTAAAGAAACTTTTCTTTTTTTAGAAAAAAATTTGAAAAAAAAAAAAGAAAAAACTTTTCTGTGAATTGAAATATAAGTTGGACTAGTTATAACAATCATTTAGAAAATAATATTGCATTTTAAATATGAATTTCATGAACTACTTCCGTTATTCTTTTGTGATCATTTTTGAATATTTCAATCATTATTCGTGAAAAGATTGAAATGCATTGCAATGCACTTTGAATAGTGCATTCAGTTCTTTCGTATTCATTTTTGTTTTTTTTTTTTTTAGTTTCAATAAAAAGATTAAAAAATTTAATTACTTTTCGATTTAGTTATAATTGAAAAGAAGAAGAAGATGAGAGGATGATGAGAAGTTTAATTATGATTAGTTGCATTGAGAGAGAAATGTTTAATGTCTAGCCGTTTACCTTTAAAATTTTCTTTTCTACTGTTTATTTAAATCTAAGCTTTAGCTTTTATTTTCGATGATGTTGTTGATAGATAGTGTTGGAATATTCGCTAACTGATACTTTTCTGCTTAAAGTGTTGTTATAAGAGAGAGAGAGGAGAGATAAAGAGATATGCAATAGATGTAATAAAGTGAATCATCACACAGATAGATTGTTCTAAAACATTTCTAATTTCGTATTTTTTATTGCTACCAATGTTTGCTGACGTTTGCACTTAAATTTCTGACATTCATCTTTCGAACAGTTCAATTCTTCCGGAATGCAAAATTTATTGATGTGCTGGAATTTGACAGATTTGAAATCACTCATTTTTTTATGTTTTAAATGTCTGAAATGTATTTTCAATTCGAATGATCGATTGATTTAGCAAGCTTTTTCGTAATTTCCGAAAACAAAGTGCTATATTGCCAATTTTTTCTTTTTCTTTTTTTTTTTTTTTTTTTTTTTTTGTTCTCTCAACAAGCATATAAATTGGTTAACAATGTTTGGATTCTTAAGCTTATCCTCAATTACACGGTATTTCTTACAATGCTCAGCTGTTGAAATAGATAAAAAGATCCTAGAAAAATTCGAATTTCATAAAGTATAGCCAATTTTTTGCCTTTTCAATGAGGCAGAAAATTCATTTAGATTTTTTAACAATAATAAAGAAAAATGAAAGAAATCTGCTGCTACTAACTGCATCCTAAAATAAGATTTTGTTTCATTTCATTTTTAATTATTCAATTGTGTCGGGGGAAATTGTCAATTTCATCTGTTTCATCATGTTTTTCCTTTCTCTTCACTTTTTCCCAGCACTTCTTCTCGTCCATCATTTTATCATTCTGTTCGCATCTTGTGAGCAAGTTATAAAGCATTCTTGTTTCTTATCGAATTGTTTGTTAGCTTGAGATTTTAATGTAATTTTTATTTGTCAATAGATTTGGAATTAAATTCGGTAGATAGACACTTCCTGAAGTGTTTTCATTTTTTTCATTTTTTTTTTTGTTTTTTTTGTTTAATAATCCATTTATTATTGCTTCAATTAGTTATTCCAAAGTTATCCATATGATCAGAAATGTATACTATGAATTTAAAAATATATGACTGATCGATGAATCTCCCACCATCCTGTTATTTTGTGTTTTCAAATCAAAGTAAGTCAAATAGTGGAATGAACTGGTGGATAGCATCTGGAGAATAGTACGTAATTTGCTTAAGTAATGAAATTGAATGAGATTAATGCATTATCAATACGTTCTGAAAAATTGTTTGAAAGTAAGAAATTATAAAACAAAAAATCAACATTTTTTCTAAATATGATATGGAAATAATTTAAAAGTACTAATATGTCTTTAAGCAGAATTGAGTGGTATTTTTGATGTTACTTAGCTTAAGTTTTATTAGACAATCTCTTCTGCCATTGATATTATAAACATTAATGAAAGCGAATCATCAATATTGTGAACATTTTTTTCATGAACTCATTTATTTCTAATTCTCTAAACTTTTGTTATTATCTCTACAATAGTAATAATTTCGTGAGATTTTTCTAAATTTCTCGAAACTCTCAGGTACATTTAATAATTCATGTTCAATTTTTTGTAAGATCTAGGATAGTATATTATTAGTATGTTTAAAGTTATTATAGTAGTACTTGGACAGAAAAAAAAACTTTAGTTGATAAACAAATTAGGAAAAAGGAAGAAAAATAAGGCGAAAAATTGCAACAAATATGTGTAAGCAAAAAAAAAAAAAATCATTAATATCAACTTTTTTTTTTTTTGAATTTTATGAAATATTTTGATAGCATCATTAATAAAATTTTACATGTCATTCCTGTCTTTTTCTCTTTTTTTTTTTTGTTTTTCTTCAAAATTAAGATTAATAAAAAGAGAAGAAAGAGAGAGAGAGAGAGAGAATTTTGTGGATTGTTTTCTTTGCTTTTCCAACTTTCTCAATATTACATATTTAGTGAAAAAGTGCTGCTTTCTAAAAAGAAAGAAAGTCTTCTCTTATATTTATTTCTCTGTAATCAATTTTTCATTCACTTTCAATTACCCTTTCCGTTAAGCTTCTTTTCAAGACTCATTTACTTCTTGTTCAGTTTATATTGTTCATATTTTTTTTTATCTCTTTTCACCTTCTATTTTCTTCTTTTTCTATTATATATTTTAGTTTCGTTTCGCATAGTTTTTTTTTTTTGAACATTTCTATTTATCATTTTTAACTTATCTAAGTTTTTTCTTTTTCTTACGTTAATTTCTTCCGTACAATTTGAAAAGAAGAAAGATTGCATCATGCTGTTCATTTCATTTCCTTTCCTTTTTTTTTTTTTTTCATTTATTTTTCTTGTCCTAAGTTTTTTTTTTTTTTTTTTTTTGTTTTTTTTTCTTCTTTGTTAAAGCTTAAAAATTTTGCTAATGTTTCAAATAAACCAAGGAAATAAATAGTTTGATAGATGGAAAGTATGAACAAAAGTACATACTGTATACATTCTACTCGAATGTATTCTTTATACAATAACACTTTGCACTTTTTTTTTTAATGAAAATTAAGGAATCATCACAAATTTCTGTTTTTCAAAATAACAATTTAATCCTTTTTATTATTTTGTTATATCTCTTCTGCAGTTCTAGTCATTTGGAATTTTATTATTCCTTTTTTTTTTTTTTTTTTTCGTTTTATTTTAATTTCTAAAGGAAAGGAAAAAAAATTACAAGATATTTTTTTAAGATATCTCTTTACTTTTAACGATATTTCTTTTCTCTTTACTTTGCATTATTTTATTGTTCCTTTCGTCTGATTTCTTTTTGATTGCTACATTTAAAATTAAGTGTAATGGAGTTATGGTATAATTTCTTAAGAAATAAAATCAAAAGAAAAATAAAAAGTGATAAGTTCCTTAGATGGTTTAATCTTAACAATATGTTTTTGCAAGACTTTCAATTTCATTATCATTTTTGCCATTCGGTTAGCTAATAATGGTTTAGTAAATGATTTGTATGGTTTGATTCGTCTATTCTATTATTTGCCAGTACAGTAATAGATTATTGTGTGAATTGATCAGGGCAATAATGAAACGTTCACATACGGTAGAATCAGGCGAAAACGGTAAACGATCAGGTAATTCGTCCCGTATTAGTCGTATGCAACGTTGGTCATTAGCGTTGCGTCGTCATTGGTTTTCATCAACTTCGGGCAGATGCCAGAAAAGTACAGATTGTGATTTTGATAATCCTGTGGAAGTTATTTTTGCTACACCTGAAAAGACAGTGCTTGGTAGTTCATTTAATGGTTCGTCTTCAAATTTATTATTCTTCGTTCAATTCACTTGTAAATATTCCATGTATTAACTGGTATTGTTACAATTTTTTTTTCTTTTTTTTGTAATTTATGATATTTTAATTTTAAGATAAGTCTATACTAGTAGTTTCAGTTGAAAAAGAGGTATTATTCCTCCTTGAGTTATATATATATATATATGTTTCAAGTCAACAGATCTTTAATAATAATAATAGGTGGAAGTTCTGTATTAACTCTATATATAATGTAAGTTCAGTCATATTTTAATTAATTTTATTCATTTTGACAAATTTTTTTGCACAATTTTAAGAAATGTTTCAAAAAAACTTTTTTTCATTTATTCATTAAAAATTTATCAGTAAGTTTGCTGTTAACCATTCAAATAATGACTGTCTAGGAATAAAGAAAAATTGAAATGCAATTTCTTGTTTTTTTTAAAGCTAAAATTCAATACTTTAGTTATACTCACAATTTACTTACTATATAAGGATTAAAATAGATGGAAGAGGTATTTTAATATTGAATGAATCTTTATAATGTGAGTTTTTTTTTTTTTTTTTTTGCGTCATTTTTTGTTTGCATTTCTTATTATTCCTTATTTACTAATATCCGAGTTCATCTTCTAGACTACAGTAAATTTGATAAGACATAATATGAAAATTTGTATTTAGTAGCCTCTATAGATATCATATTAAAAAGAAAAAAAAAACATGAAAGTTGCTACTCTTTTGTTGTAAATCTGCTTTTTAAAATTCCAATAATGATTAATGATAAAAAAATTTTTTTTAACATATGCTAATTACATTTTCTTTTTCTTTTTTAGTATACGCTAATTATATGCTTTTTTAGTATATGCTAAGGGGAGATTTTCTAATACTTTCAAAAATTTCGATTCAAATTTAATACTATTAACATTTATTCTACGATTAGATATAATATTATTACACTGTAATGGTAAGATTTTTCATCACATACATTACTACCGCCGTCTGTGAGAACTATAGATTATGTCTTTATAGAAATACATAAAATTTTTATGCCTTGAAGCAATTGGCAATGAGAAACTTCATGTGCATATCTGCATGTTTTTACATTTATATTATACACATTTATACTTTATTTTATGTTATTTTTTAGCATTGATAAGTAAAAAGAGTAAGATAAAAAGAAGTTAATAATTTTTAAAATTGTACAAATATTAGCTTGATTTTTTGTTCTTTTAGATGGCTCATCAGCATCCTGCTCAACAGATCGTCCCTTGGTGGATCCCACATATTTAACCAATATCACTTCATCGACGCAAAATATTGTTAAAAGGAAAAGTTTGCGGTAAGCTTAAATATTTTATTCTTTTAATCATTCCTCTTTTCCTTTTTATCTTTTTTTTTTTTCATATTTCTCCAGAAAGTACTCTGAATAATGAAAAAATAAAAAGATATGTCATATGAATAATGAGATATTGATAGCTAACGAAGATTATTATATCAGCAGGATTTTTTTTTCTTTATTTTAAAGCAAAGAACAAACCGGAACAATGCAGAAAATGAAAACGAAAAAAAAGGGAAATTTTTGAAGATAAATTCATAGAATTGAGTTATTATTGGAACATTTGTTTTTTATTCAAAAGTATTAGAATGCTGAAATTTCTGACAATTATTAAGCTGTTTAATGATAAGAATATAAGTTGAAAAATGATAAAATTAAGCAAAAGTATAGCTGATGAAGATATGATGAAAATGAAGTCAGTTTATATCATATTGTTAATTTATTTGGATAATTATTTAAAAAAAAAATTATAATAAAAGATATAAAAAACTTATTTGGGTTATTTGGATAATTCAATCATGATTTTTCGATTCTTAATTCAACCTAAACAATTTTCTTTTTTTTTTTATTATATAATTATCTGAATCAATTTCCAACTATTTTATCATCATGTTTAATTTTTGCTATCTTTTTATCTTTTTTTTTTTCTGGCTAGGAATTAAATTATATCTAAAAAATTGTTAAGTCAAAATAAAGCAAAAGAAATGAAATCACTGACTGAGAAAATCAAGTGACCCAAACAGAAAATATTGCAGCTAATTGATGAGTCGTTTATGTGAAATACTTTGATAGCAAACTGTCAAAGAACCTAACACAATTGTCTGTAATCGTTATATATCATTGGCAAAAAAAAAAACATATTCTGCTATTATGCTTAATTGAATTATTTTTAGTCTGAGAAAAAAGATGATTTATGCAAAGAATAATAGAGAATTGAAAGTAAGCTATTAATTAGGAAAGTTCACTTAGGATAATTTTCCTTTTCTAGATATTTAGAGAGATGATATGTGTTTGCAGAATTTCATTCCTTACTTTTGCTATCATAATGAGCTGAAGGATATGAAAGGATAAATTTTTCTCTGAAAGGCAAAAATTGTCGAGTAATTTTCTCTAAGATTAATTTAGTTATATTAACGATAATTACAGTTAAGCTTTTTTTCTTTTAGATAATTTCAGATTTTTTCTCTTTTCAAGTTATTTTGTCTAGTTACAAGCGCACATATTTATGTTTAGCTTGTTTTCGACTCCTTCAGTCCACTTAAGGCTATTTCATTTAATCTCATTCTTTATTTTCATTTATTTTATTTTTTTTTTTTTTTTATTTCAAATTGATTTTAAGCTTCCTTTGCTCAGTACCGAAAGTTAATTAGATTTCAGGATCTTCTTTTTTTTATTAACATTTACTATTATAGTTTTTGTTTTGGTTTTACGCCTTCATTCTAGGCTTTCTTGATTACTTTTACATCGCTAATTGTATCTCAATTAATAAATGATTTTTAGGCGTTTCTTCAGTAACGGTCAACAGCAGCAACAACAACAACAACAGCAAGGATCATTAAGTGGTAATCATCCACGTCCCCAGTCTGTGTCATTAGCAACACGGAAAGTTAGTGGCCAACAACTTAGATATAGTGCAACAGATCCACTTCATTCAGGCTCATCTTCCTTAACCGATCAACATCAGCAAGATCACTTATTATCGAGGGTTTGTTTAGTTAATTTATTTCTATGTTAAATTTTAGGACTGAATTTTAATCATCAAAACTATTTGTCACTCGTCATACTCTTTTCCATACTCTTTTTACTATCTCCTATAATACGGAAAGGAATAATATTTCAGTTTGGTAAACATTTTATTTGCCTTAGAGATTTTTTAGCAAACCATTTATCTGCTCTTCGTCATATTTAAAAATTTCGTTTCTCTTATAATGTCTCTTAATATGTTAATATGCTTCCAAATGTTTATTTACTGCTAACTAATTGACATTCATGATATTTATTATATATCACTGAAAACCAATTGGATAATCGAAAAATGACTCTATTGTTAGCTTTCCTTCTCTAAAATTATATTTTTGGTAATTTTCACGAACGGTTGGTCGAAATTTTGTACCAATTGCATGAAGTTTATCAGCAGATCCTAGTTTTTGGAGATATTGTCTCGAAAATTCGCAAAGAAAAAGTAATAGGAAAATAATTTATCAAGTCTTGTTCAAACATTTCTGGTTATGTAAATTTGATCTATATATTTCCAATTAATTCATTTTCTAATTTTAAAACTGTAAAAATTTAACAAGAAAACAATGTTATTATTGTTTTGACCATTACAGTTAGTTATGTATGCATTGTTTCTTTCGAACATATCTTCATTACCCATTAAATTCCAGATTGTCCTTATCTTTGATTAAAATATCCTGAAATTTAATGAATATAAATTTTAATGTTATTTGTTTTCAATCCCTAAATGTTCATTTTTGTCAAATATAGGCGATATAAACTCATGTTCCAAATAATTTATTTTTATTTTTATTTTTTTGTTCTTGTAAGTGATACCTTTCAGTGATATCCAACCACCATGCAACCGTTTTTTTTTTATTTTTTGAAAGAAATGATTCCCAATTGCATCAAATTTCCTACCAAATTTACCTTCTATTTCTTCCTTTTTTCTCTTTCTTTTCTTTTTCTCCCTTCCTCCCTTCTTCATCTATTTTTATCTCAGATTTTGTTGTCATCTAAACAGAAATATACCGCTTTTACCCTCTCATTTCATAAGAATTCTTTTTTTATTTGTCTTTTCAAGATCATCTAATGGCCTTTGTCTGTCTCATTTAATTTCCTTAACTTCATCCTTCTCCTTCCTTCCTCACTTTTTTTTCTTCTCCTATCCCTTTTTTCATTATTGCTCTTTTCCTCTTTTTTTTTTCATCAACTTTAGAAATGTATTTTCAAAATGAAAAAAAAATTTATACTTGAATACAAGCAAGCAATCTCATAAATACAATCTGCTGTAGTTATTATCATTTCTCGATCTCTTTTTAACTGAATCATCGTTCTATGTTTGCTTTTGGATGTTTTTTTTTTTTAATTGTAAAGCAATCAGTTTGCTACAACTTTATTGATGATTGATTAATACTTGATAAGTAATTAACGACTCGAAAATTGGATAACATTTATCAATTTCTTATCATTTCCTTTTGCTTTTACTTCACTCTTTTTTCAATTAGAAATATTGATTGAACAAACAATAATAATTATTTTGGAAAATGTTACCGAATGTATAAAACTCTGATTGGGATGTCTATCTCATTATAATATCACCTATTGAGTTATTAAAATGGTTATTTGTCTTCATTATCTTTTATTTTTATTCCACTTTAATTGTGTTATAATATTCATTTTTTTTTCCATCCTACGAAAAGATTTATATTTAAAAGTGGTAAATTTCTCAAAAGTTTATGCCAAATACTGGAGGGAATTAAGTAATATTTTAAAACTAAAATTTCTCTTTAATTATTCGCATCATTTATTTCACATAGTTATTAAACATTTTTGGCATATATCACTGTAATTATTTGTCATTGCTATTATCACTTATGTATGATTGTGTACTATGTACATCAGTTTTTCTTTTCTTTTTTCTATCATTTTTATCAGTTCTTGTTTACCACGAAGAAAGGAAAAGTTATTTGAAACTCGAGTAATTAGATAAATTTTAAAATATCTGAGTAAACTAAAAAAAGCAACAAAATTTTTTTTTTTTTGATGGAATAGTGCGTTATTTATCAGCTATTTTTGTCATTGTGATAAAATAATGTGATCTATTGTCGATTACTATTATCGATTGTGCCTATAATTAGATAGTTACTTTTAAAACTTTTTTAAATCTTCTATTTACAAACATGGCTAACAAATATTGAAAAATAAAAAAAAAAAAAAAAAGATGAGAAAGCTAATGGATATAAATAGGAATTTTTTTTTCCTTGTAATAATATGGTAGAGTAAATGAAGGTTAAATTTTGGATTATAATTATTTGAACATAGATTGATGCAGAAATGATGAGACTATGAATTAAATTTTAAACTGATACTTCAAAACTTCAATTTGTTTCTGGAAATACTCTTTAAATGCAGTTAGCAATGTTGCGTTTGCTATGATTTTTTCTTTGCTATTTTCATGTATATATATATTTATATTTTTTTTTCATAATTTATTGAATGATATTTAAAATTATTCACCAGTTCATTTTAAATCCTGGAATGCAACTCATATTCCTTAAGTTTAGGCTGAAAGAATTAGTCTAAATATTCTAAATATTTATACATTGTTATTAATTCAAATATTATGCATTGCTTTATCTTTACTTTCACTCCCATTGCTAACCTTCTTTCATTAGATAAGATAAACATTGAGTTTAAAGAAAGGACAAGAGGAAAAAAAAAAAATAAATAGCATCTTTGATAAATTACTTGTGTATTTTTAGTCAATCAAATAATTTGAGAGAGTAAAAATAGCAATAAGTATGTAATATTTAGTTTAATAGGGACTTAAGTTTAGACTGAAAGATAATAAATAAATACATTAGTAAATCTATATAGAAATAATGTCTTCATTTTCACTATCTATGTTTAATCTTCCTTGATGCTTAAACCTTTTTTATTTTGAAAATTATCTATCATTGTACCATTTGAAATGCATTTCTTTTATTATCAGACTTTGCTGAAAGTTCATCAGTTATTCGTATTTGATCGATAACTTTGTACAATTTGACCAGCAGTACTTTTTTTTTCTTAATGATTCTTATCGTATAATTACATTTTCCTTTCGTATTTGTTGAAAAAAAAAAAAGAAAGGGATAATTACAATATGTCAAATAGTATGTTATACGTATAACAACCATGTCGCAAGCGTAATTTCTATCAAAAAATATGAGTAATTTACTCAAGCCATAAAGTAAAGTTTAAAAAAATATTGATTTTTGTTTTCTTTTTACGTTACGAAAACAAATGACATTAATAAAAAAGAAATAAAATGAAATTTTAAACTAAAGTATTTAGAAAAATTTCTTTTCTCATTGTTATCTTTTCTGCTTTTTCACCTTCAACTGTTTCATTTTAGTCTTAAAAGAAGAAATCTGAAAATTGTTTCCCTTTTATTTTTTATTCTACTCCTTTCAGTGTTATTATCCAATCTATCTATTAGTTTTTTTTTTTCTTTAATATATTTTATTATACAATGAAGCTTTTATTCCTTTAATGAAAAAAAGTTTTTTTTTTTAATTTTAATACTAATAACTGTATAAAGTAAATGCAATAGTAGTAACGACTAAACTTAATTCAGCAGAAATGTTTGAAAAAAGAGAGAGAGAGAGAGAGAGAAAGAAGGGAAAAACATATGAAAGTTTCATGAAAGTAATTCAAAAATGAAAGGAAAGAAAAGAAAAAACAATGGTTTGTAAAAGAGAAAAAGGAAAAGAATTGGAAATAAGATTGTACTAAAGTAAGAGCTTTCAAATTTTCTCACATTATTACTCATCTTCTCAATCATTTTCTCTTAACTTTACCTCTACAACCTCTTTTCTTCATTCATTTTTTTCTCTTTGTAGTCTGTTATTTTGTATATAGAGCTTAAGCTTAGTTATAAAAATTAACCTGTTAATCATTATCAGGACAATAAATCGATGCTTTTACTTCTAATTTTTAGTATTAATTTTGAATTTTAATGTATCTCTCTTCCCTCTCTTTTATTTTCTTTTCATTCTTTTGTTTACCTTTCCTATTTCTTCTTCTTTCCTCTTTTTTCCCATTTTTACTTTCACCATCCTTTGAACACTTTTCCTAATATTTTTCATCATTTTTTTGCCTTTTCATATATTATGATCTTGAAATTCTTTTTTTTTTTTTTTTCTATCAAACGAAATAATATAAATGTTGTTTATTATTTTCTCATCACAATCCTTTTTAGCTTGTATTGTTATCCCTTAGAAATGGGATAAAAGAAATGACTTTTCTTCATCCTTCTTTTTTTTTTCACTCCTTCTCTCTCTCTCTCTCTCTCTCTCTCTCTCTCTCTCTCTCTCTCTCTCTCTCTCTCTCTCTTTCATTCCTGTCTTATATTTTCCAAAATAATGTTTACTAAAGAGGAAAAGAAACAGAAGAGAATTGGGCTTTCATTTTGATTATCTCATTTACTTGCTTATTTTGTTAATTTACATTATTGTGTCATAAAATGACTGAATTACCTTTTCTTCTCATTTATCTTTTCTTTTTTTCATAGTTGTATGTTTCATTTTAAACATATTTTTCTTCATTTTAATATTTGCTGTCATTGTTTTATGGGTTATTTATTTGCAATGATTTTTTTTTTTTCATGTTGTAATTTTAATTTCATTTGTCACTACAGCACATTTTCTTAATGTATTGCCGAAATGATTTCTAATGCAAATTTTTTCATTTGTAGTTTGAATAATCTTATTTTAATTAATTGAACTGTTGTGGAATAATTAATCGAAATAATCTTTCTTTTTTTTTTCATTGTGAAAAAAAAGAAAGTAGATAATTGCTATAGTTTAACTGATTATTATTACGAAATGAAATCAATGTAATAAGTTAGTGCAGGTAACAAATAGCTTGTTCTCCAAATAAATTTATACTTTTTTGATAGTTTTTTTTTTTTATTTGTTTATTTTTTTACTTTTTTTTTTAGGATTTTGTAGAATCAGATTTAACGATTGTTGGTACAACAACAGCAGGAGGTGCTCATAGTGTTTTATCATTGTGTGACGATCAAACACATTCGACAAGTGGGCAAGAAGAAGCATTAACTACCGTTGCTGGAGGATTACTTTCAGTGAATCCTCCATTAATTGATCCAACAACTGAGTCAATAGCATCATTCTCCGATCAGGGTGAATTTGAATTACCACCACCAATGAGTGAATTAAGTAGTGCTGTAGCTGATGCTGCTGCTTCTAGAAACACATCAGTAAGTAATTTTTATTTTATGAAACTTTTATTTTATTTATTTATTTTTTTTTTTTTTTTTTTTTTTTTTGCAAATTTAAATTCCTTTCAGATATTTTTGATCCATTTCAATTTCTTTTTTTTCCTTTCATTTCATTTTTTCGTCATGTCAAATTCATTTGAATACATTTATTAGCAAGAACGATACTGCACACAATTTAGTAATCAAGTTAATCTTTTGCATTTTTCATAAGCATTTGACAGAATTATTTGTCAACTACATTTTAGTTTTAAATTAGTTTACTAGTTAAAGTTTTTTTTTTTTTTTTTATGTTTGTCATTTTACTATTTTCATTAGAACTATTTTTAAATAAATTTGCATTTATAAGTAGAAATTGTTTTTATGCACTTATTTATCTGAACTTTATTAGTGAAATACTTCTCATTTATGACATGATGTCGTAGTAAATATCAAACTTTGCATTTAGTAATTGCTCTAATATGGAAATTTTGTGAGACTTTTCTACTTTCTTACTACTACTACTTTAGTAATATGCCAAATTACAATACCAGCAAATCTCAATCACATTACATTTTAATATATACTGTGTTCTTTTTCTTTTCATAATTTCATTCTAACATAACAATAGCGCTTAAAATTTATAAAAAAAAAAAAAATGAAGAAATTACCAATCACATTTTTGGTTTTTTTTTTTCTTTTTTTTATTAAAGAAATATTTTTACTTATATTACTTCTACCATATATTTGTTATTTACAATGAAATGATATTATGTTGCTAAAGTTAGTGGGAGAAAAAAGATCAAATAAATAATTGAAAAGGAAGAATTATATGATAAGTTGGAAAATGCATTTGCACATTTATTATTCACATTATTTTATAGTGATGATTAGTTATCGAGATAGTTACATCCTATCAACATGAATTTTATTTTGGTCTTCTTTTCTTTTTATCTCAGCTTACTTTTGATTTCCAACTTTACTACAAATTAATTGTTCTATTTCGTTGAAAATTTAGAATGAAAAAAATAACGGCAAATGAATTGAGATCTAAATATGTTTCAGTTTTAACGGAAAGTTCATGAAAAGTTTTTTTCTCTTTACTTTTTTTTTACACTTTTTTTTTGTATTGAATTTTGATTAATTTATACTGATGGATATTTCTTATTCAATATGGTATATTTTCAAGCGGTGTACGATGGTGACATAATTGATTTGGGATACGATTAAATGTATACTTCTCGGACTGAGGTTTTTGATAAGGAAATTGCTAAACTGTTCCGTTCTTTTCGTTAGTTAGGTATGTAGAAATGAAGACAATTTAAATCTTCACTGACAATTTTAAGAAGTCAGTGATCTGGAAATCTTGCCTTCGATAAGCTGCTAACATCACCCGATTGAAAGGATTGGGAATTAACTTTTTAAGTTTTTTTTTTTTTTTTTTTAAATTACCTTTTGGTAATCTAATAATCGGTTGTTAATGAATTTTCAGTTTTCGTGACAATTGATGACGAATTTGACTGTTATCAGTCAGTAGTAATTGATCTCCATAATAATTTCATTTTTTAATGCCTTCTTTCCCCGTGAATATCCATGTGGTTCATTAATAATTTTGAGTTGTTTTCTGATGATAACAAAGTATTGTTGGCGGAAAATATTTGAAGATTTGAGTACATTGTGTTTAAAAATTTTTTTGGTATTACTATAATAAATGGAGAAATTTTTTTTTTTAATAGTTTGTTAGATAGTTGAGAAATAAGCATATGAGAAAAAAAGGGAGAAGAAGGGAAAAAAAAGAATTTAAATTTAAATAAGGGTGAATTTTAAGGAAGGACAAATGATAATAGGAATAGATTGCATAAATTGCTGATTGCAGTAATGTAATTTTTACGCATCTACGTAAGGATATTATTATATTTGCAGCTTGAATTGAACATGGGTTAGCATAAAGAGGTGAGATGTATGCATATTGATGCAAATGATGAACTTATGCTATTTGGAGGAGTAAAATGCAAAGAATTCAAAAACAAGATTGACTTATCTAGACGAGATCGAATCATGCTGCAGCAACAGGAGCAAAGCAGTAGTAGCTAAATCTAAACTAACTACTGATAAGTTAAACTTAATGATAGAAGGCTAAAAAAAGGAAGAGAAATAGATAAAATCCCAGGAGTGTACTAAGCCATCTGGGTATGCATGCATACATGTGAAATTATGGAATAAAATTATTCAAAAATGGGTAGAGTTAGAGCAGATTAAGATAGTAAGGCATTTATTATATATGAATTTTAGGGTAAGTAGATAGATGCATATGGCCAATACATAGGAAAGGGAATTGGAATGGAAATACAAGGCTGATTACCAATTTGTTCTTTCTAACTAAACATTATTGCTTTTTTGGTTTGAAAGTTTTTTGCTGTTGAAAAAAAAAAGAAAGGAAAAATGAATTGCTTTATATACATAAATTCAAACTTATATTTAGTAGAGATGAAAAAATCACTTTTACTAACATTTTCCCGAAGTATTCTAATATTGCTATGTACTTCTTTGTTTTCTTTTGTTTTCGTCTTTTGTTAACATGTAATTAAAAATCTTAGAAGATATAAGAAAGAGCGAATGTTATTTTTTTGAATGGCATATTACAGTTGCATAGTAAGTTATTACTGAAATGTAGTTATTTGAAACTTCATTAAGAAATTCTTTTTTCTTAATTTCAGTACATGTTCGCTTATAATTAATTTACAGTATTGATTATTTGTATAATTCTAAATTGTTAATCGTTTAATCAAATAAGATGAAAATAAACAGAACGTAACTTAACGGAGATTTCTGATATAACCAATCTGTATCAGGTATGTAGTCAATATTAAAATCGACTACGTATCGGATGTAGATACGTTTGTCATAATCGAGATTTCCAAATATGGGGGAATATTTTAGCAGCAAAGGTAATCTTGTAAAAGTGATCGACATTTACTGTTTGGTGGATAATTCATATTTAACGAGATATGTTCTGGGAAATTGGGAATTATATGAAGATTAGAGAACAAAACGAAAAAAAAAAAAGGAAGTTAAAAATATTTGCTTGAATTTGCCTTTGTTCTACTGAATACACAACTGCTTTGTTCCTGAAATATTGATAGCTTTATTTAATTCAAATTTTCTAATTCACCTATTAAAATATTGGTAAATTATAGTGATCAAATAATCTTTGATCAAATGATACATGTAATAACAAGTTAAGTAAATGAGGAAGATGATAGAAGGCAAACTAGCTGTTATATCATAGTTTCTATGTTATATTATCTGGAAATTGTCAGTTTTTTCTAAAAATTTTCTTCACGTTCGTTTTTTTAATTTATTACGCTCTATGAAATTTTTTCACAGAAAGTGAAGGTAAAAGTGTGGAGGAGAAAAAGTGTTTTAAAAAAAAGGAAAGGAATATAAAGTTGAGCAGTTGTTGGTTACTTAGAGAAGTAGTGATAAGACCAAGATAAGAGATAAATATTTATTACCAAAGATTCCGTATTATTATTACTAATAATTGCTATTATTATTATTATTATTATTTTATCACTACTTTAATCGTATTATTCACTTTTTTCCATTATTTCTATTTCCGAGGTTTTCCTATGTCTTCCTTGTTCTTTCCCTACATTTCTCTCTTTTTTTACGAGATATATTTGAAAAGGAAAAAACAGAAGAGGAAAATAAAAAAATTGGAAGCTTTTTCTATTAATGACATTCGATGTGCTAGTTTTTCTGTCTTTTTTTTCTTTTTTTAAAAGTTTTAGCGGTGTAATCAATTTCTAGTTTATAATGAAAGCAAAATAGATTAATATTTCTTTAATGTTTTTCTATTTTACATAATTTGAAGAAAAAAAAAATTGGAGATAATATGGTGGTGGTATACATGAAAGAATCCTGTCTTTTATGGATTTTTTCTTTTTTAGAAGTTTTTTTTTTTTTTTTTTTGAATTTGCTTGAATACGGATAGTTTATTGGATAATAACTGTAGCTAATATTATGTATATATTTAATACATTAGCTGCGATCTGTTTCAGCATAATACATAATCATTTGTAAGCATAATAGTGTTATTTTGAAATAATCATTCTAGAGTTGCTTTATTTGTTTGGAAACATATTAAATAAAATGCCTGCTTAAATTTCAAAACTGTTAGCTGGTTTCAAATGTGGAATATTATAGATGGAAGAACAACACGCAAGCGATGTATTAGTTGTTTGTACTGAAACAACGGAAGATCAAAGCAGTGCTTCAGGAAAGGCAGAAAAAAATCCTCAGGATATTGCAAGGCAAAAGCGACAGTTCGTATTCTTTTATTTTTTTGAATTCAACAATTATGATTCATATTAGCAAAATATCTATTAGCTTGGAATTGGTTTATTTGATTAATTGGTTCTATTGATAGCAATTGCCATTAGCTTATAATTGTTATAACTTATGACTGGATGTAGAATAGCTTTTGATGGTTGTGATTAGCTTAAATTTTTGGTTGGTTATCATTAAGTGGGATCATGATTCAAACATTTATCTATATTCAAAATTCACATTTTATTTTTGTTCTTAGATATGTGCTAATGGAATTGGTTGATACAGAACGGGATTATGTAAAAGATTTGAGTTCAGTGGTAGATGGATATATGGCAAATTTGCAAACGATGGAATTGCCAGAGGATTTGGTTGGCAAAGACAAAATTATTTTTGCAAATATTGCTCAGATTCTTGATTTTCACAAAACGTAATTATTTTATTCTTGCCTATTATTTTATGTTATTTATTACTTTATTCATTTATTTTTCCTTAAATTTTTTTTAACGCCACTACTTCACAGTTTTTAACCGTTTCCTTTATTTTACTTTATTTTTCAGGTTATTTTTAAAAGAAATTGAAAAGTGCCTCGAAGATTATGAAGCTGCGGGTAATGCCTTTGTTAAATACGTAAGTTTAGCATCTTCCATTTTTTTCATTTAGACAAAATTTTCAGTTTATTGAACTTTTTCATCATGTCATCATGTCATGTATAATCGTTAATTGTGCATGATAAGGAGTTTATATAGATTTATCACAGTTCATGTTGCTTTGATCGCCTGATTACTGTCTACTCTCCTTTTTAATCTGAAATCCCTTTTTATCTGAAAACTTTTTGATGGTCATTTTTGATAAGTTTTTTGCTTAATGCTTTTTCCACTTAATTATTACTTAAATTTACGCTAATTCAGATTTGTATATCAATGAAATGTACAGCAAAATAAACTGTTGATTAGATGCACTTTAAAATTTTTGGTAGAATGGGAAGTCTAATATATCATTATACACAATAACTGTGTAAAATGAAATTCGTTAGTTGTAACAAATTTTTCACATAATCTATAAGTGGAGAGAGGTGATAAATCATTGTATGCTGTAACCTGCTTAGCTCATTGAATGACGTAAATAATGAATTGCAACTAAAATCATTAGTGACTGAGAATAGGCATTTTAAATAATTGATTTATTGCAGGAACGAAGGCTACATACATATTATGTGAAATATTGTCAGAATAAGCCAAAGTCAGACTTTCTGATGGCACAGGATGATTTTGAACAGGTATGTTTGTGTTTGTGAAATCTCACTTCCTCTTCATTCTACCACTTTGTTGTTGAGTTTATTGTTTACCATATATTAAGCAATTACTGCGCATAATTCTTTTCTCATCATAATTATTTAAATATTCGATTTAATGTATGATATACTTTAAAATGATCAAAGCTTTATCATTCTGTTGTGTTCACTCTTTGATGAGACTTTTTGTTGAGGCTTAAAATAATATCTTTCCCTTCTGCATGAAAATTTCAACATCAAAAATAAAGTTTTGTGTCTCAGTTTTACTTTTTTTTATTACTCCACTCATCATGTATTCTTCTATAAAAGATTCAAAATCTTACCTAAGTGGTTTCTTTGTTATTGTTGTTGTTGTTGTTACAGCCAAAAAGATAGCTAATTCACAATTTAGTTCTTCGCTGAAACAAAACAGAAATTGGGTCATAAGATAGCACTATGTGATCTCTTAATCAAGCCAGTGCAGCGTATAATGAAATATCAATTATTGATGAAGGATATTTTGAAATATACAGAAAGAGCGGGTGATCGAATGGATATCTTGGAAAAAGCTCTTCAGGTTTATTTATGTATTTAGAAGAGTTCATATTTCCTGTAGTTCAATTGCCGTTTTCTTTTTTTTAGTTAACTCAAGAACAGTAGTGATTTAATTTTAAGATTTTTCTCGTCTAGTACAGATCGAGAGATAGCTGAGATTAGAAAGAATTCAGTTAGATACTGCAAAGCGAAATCATTATATTATGTCATTTGTTATCTAATGCTATTACATAGATCTATAATCATAATGATAGAATTGGACAAAGATTATAAATTTTGTTTTATAGGTAATGCATGTAGTACCAAAAGCATGCGATGATATGATGCAAGTTGGCCGATTGCAAAATTTCGACGGAAATTTAAGTGCTCAAGGGAAATTGATATATCAGGTTTATCTATCTACATTTATCATTCACGAAAATCAAAAATAAAATATGCGGTCATGCCTACATTAATAATTTATCATAAAACATTCTATGTAATTTCAAGTGATAGCATTAATTCATGCAAATGCGATGTAGTATAAGTAAGTTATGTACGTAAATTGTACATGAATTTTGAAAATTATTTCGTAAAACTCAACAAACTTTCACAGGGAACAGTGGCAATCTCAGATAATGCTCCATCACAGCCTTTCAAAGGAAAAGATAGGCGAATATTTTTGTTTGAGCAGTCTGCAATCATCGCCGATTGTATTTTGCCGAAGAAAGAATTTGGTAATCCTACATACATCTTCAAAAGTCAAATTATGGTTAATAAAGTAAGTTTATTTACTTTAATTTTACGTAGCAGTTTAGGTTTTTTTGTTGTTGTTGTTTTTTTGTTCCTTTTGTTTCTCAATCTTAATTTGTAAACAAATGAAGATGTGCTGTACTAAATTTCTTTAATTTTAACTGAAAGGTCGAAAAAAACACCTTACTACTTTTCATTCAAAATCTATGGTTTTGATTTATGCTTCAATTTTTACATAATTTTGTGGTTAAATTTTGATTACAAATCATTATAGAATACTTATAGATTGAAGAATTGGTTGGCATATTTCCTATAGCATTGTAAAATATAATATTCCTAAAGGAGGAAAAATTCATTCTCTTTTCTGAACATAATTTTGGCTTTTTTTTCCTCTTCATCTCTTTCTGAGTAGTTTATTATAGCATTATTCCATCTAAACTGGAAATTAATATCCGTTATTTCTCACATGATGAGATATTGCTTAAAATAGGAGGAAGGAAATGCCATCGTGATAATTTCATTCTACCGTATGACAAGTAATATCTAATATTAAGAAGTGTGAATTTAAACGATATGTTGACATGTTGCAATATGACGTATAACTTAGGATAGGAAATGAAAAAGTTAAGCATAAAAAGTATAACAGGGGATGTTTTTACAAAATATTACAAATTCATCATTCTCATTGCCCAAGTATTTATTTCTTCGTATTTATGTCACTAAGCTTACGATTGACCGTTTTATCATATCGGTGATTACATATGAATTATTTGTTTAACATTAATGGGAATAGTTCAATAGTCTTCTTCATTCATCGGTTACTTACTACTGATCCCTTTCTTATAAGGAGAAATCAGAATTTTAAAGGTGACAAATATAACATTTAAAAACAGCAATTGCTTTGTCACAACAAAATCTGAGAAAGACATGGAGAGAAAAAGGAACATCGAAAACATGTTATAAAATTTTACTTTTCTAAAAATGAAGTACCAGGAAGTGATTGTTTTTGTTTGCAGGAATATATAGTATAGTTTGAAGTTGTTGATCGCAATTTTTGACTCTCAAAGTTTGGATTTTCAAGTTTTTCCTTTGCTACATTAGAGTTCTTGTGAAGAGGAGAATCATGAAAGAAGAAGGAGAGCGAGGTAGATGTGTTTAGAAAGGGAAAAAAGAAAACAGACTTTTAGCTTTTAAATTTGTTAAAGAAAGACTTTCGAAAATTTTGTAAAAGAGGCATTAAGCAATGCTTATAAAATATAAACATCATTCCTTTATGTTTATATTCTTCATTACTTTTTGTTAGTTCAATATAAGAATATAATAATAGGGAATGATTTCGACACTCGAATTTTCTCAAAAGATCATTTAAAATTGTGGTAAAATAAGCATTTTCAATAAGTAAGCTATTACGTAGATTATATTTTACTACATGAGTTTTACTTGATATAACTAAAGTAATCTTGTGCCAGTGTTCTCGATAATGTTATCATTTTGTTTTTTGATTAAGTCAACAAGTATAATAATGAGAAAAATAGATCAATTCTAAACTTTTCAATCTTTTTTCTCTTTGAAAAGGATGAAAATTTTCAACTTTCCCTAAAATTTCGATAACATTTGGTATCTTCTTTACATTCAAATAGCATCTGCTTTGATTCGCTGCAAATTTACTTGTTTTTTGTCCTCTTTTGAGGGTTTTTTTTAATTTTTCTTAGCATCAAATTTTTCTTGGAAAAATCTTATAGTTTTTGTTCATTTTAGATGGTATTGGAAGCAACTGTTGCTGATGAACCGTTACGTTTTATTCTAAAGAGTAATGATCCGTCACAACCGAACGCATTCTTAGCGCAAGCTAATACAATGGAAGAAAAGGATCAGTGGATTTCGAAAATAAATAGTCAATTGGATCAGCAAAAAACACTTCTGGCAGCTTTGGTAGACCCTAAACGTTATCAAAATCAACTTGCTGGAAGTGTTAACTCATTGTCATTGTAAGCTTTTCTCTGTTTTCGTCAAAGTGGCATTTTCTAAATACCAATTTAGGTTGTCTTTTTTTTTTTTTTTTTTAAACCTTATTGCAATAATATCGGATTATTAGATGTTACGATAGCAAATTTTATAACAAAAAATTTCTTCATTTTGCTATAAAGGCAGGCAATATGCTAATTTTTTTCCAGTATTTACTACATTATGTGCTAGTAATTATAACTTTTTTCTGGTTTATTTTGAGTATAACCAATAATATAATATTTACATCTACTTATTAAAATGTATACTTTTTCTTCTATTTCGATTATACTTTTGATTATTTTCATTTTTACTTGATTTTACTTGATTATTTCAAATTTCAGGGAAGAAGTGGATAAGAAGAAAACGTTGTTTCCACGGTTAACCGGTAAAAGTAAAGAAAGCAGTCACACTTTTTTAGGTGCTTCATCTTCGATGCATCAGAATTCTAGCATTCAAACACTATCATCGAAAAGTAATTCATCGACAAAATCTTCGAAGTTGTTTGGTTTTGGAAAAAAAATGAATCCAACAAATAGTAATAAGTCAGCAGCAGTAGGTAAATTAAAGTGAAGCTGGTTACTGGAAGAAATCAAAGAAGAGGAACAAGAAGTGAAATTTGTCATAAATTATCAAGGTTATTATGTACCTTTTGGTAGCAGCAATTATTGCCTTCTAGTTATTTTTGTCATCTTTGGGAGAAATCGATCAGCTTAGAAGATTATTGAGTCGATTTCTGATAATTCCAGCAAACTGTTTGGATTATTCTGCAGACTTTTTCGAACTATTCAGTTAGCATTTCAAAATAATCCAATTGTTTTTTTTTTTTTTTTTTGCATTGTTCAAGCGTTTTTGAAATATTGAGTTGCCTTTTTTGATAAATGAGTTAACAGGAAAAAAAAAAACTTTGTTAGAAACTATTTTTCATTGCGCTAGTGATAATGCATAGCTTGTCAAAATTTTTTAAGTTAAGAAAGAATAGCTTTTATTAGGCAAAAATTTTTCAGTCGACAAAATCACCAGGGATTCATCGTTTGAGGTGAAATGAGAAAGAAAAGCTTTGTTTTTTTTTTTTTTGTTTTGTTTTTTGTTTGGAAATATGTAACAAAAAACTGAATTTGAAACTTTGTTTGAAAATTTTTTAGACATTATTGGGGAGATTTTTATGTTCAGTTGTATAAAATAAACTTTAACTGTAGGTCTAAGTTGAGGAATGGAGAAAAGAGAGATGTTATTTACAGTAATTTTCAGGCCATAATGAGCAAACTCCTCGGAACTCTTTCTTTTGTATTTGAACATGGCAATTCCTTTTTTATTTATTTACTGGTTTATTTATTTTAATTTATTCGCATAATTTTCGAATAAATTTCCTTGTTATGGTATTTGTTATGAATATAACTATTGTGTATATGAATAGATTTGTACAATTTGAGTGCCAGCATACGTTTTGATGATGAAAATGTCCTGAGAATTATTGAAAGATTATGAGGGATTTTATTTGTTTGAAATTTATTGCTTAATTTAAATTTGCTTCGCTTATATATATACATATATATATTGTTTTAATTATTTTTTTTTACATTTTTAGTAAACTTCTTTTTTTCTCATGTATGTATAAGAAAAGAAAAATTGATTACGGTTTTCTCTAAAAAAAAATGTCGGATTCGAATTTGCGTCTAAAACTAAACCGGTGTTTTCTGTTTTTTTTTTTTAATTGGTATTTATTGATATTCATTTTTTTTTCCTCCTTTATTTTATTATTTCATTCAAATTAATGCCACTTCAATTCATAAGTTTCTTTCCTCACAATTAGACAACAAACTTTGAATCAATTTTTTATGGAATTGCTAATCAGTTTCTTTTATTTTTCATCATTTTTTTTTCCATTTAATAGTGAAATTGTTTCAGTTTCTCTTCGATACAAAATTTTCCATTTTTACTGCATTTAAATTGTATTCAATACAAAGATGAGGAAAAAAAACGCTCTGTACATATTTTTATTATTATTAATTGTAAAAAATTTTTTGTGCATTTTTCCTTTATGTTTTTTTTTTTTTTTTTTTTTATTCGACAAATGAGCTTACATATTGTTCTTTAAAAAAAAAGAAGATGATGATGCTATTATCAAATATTGTTGTTAATTTTGGAACAAGAAATCGGGAGTTTTTTTTTTAAAGTTTTTAAAAAATCGCAGATATTTATCGAATTTTCCCTTGACAATCTATCCTTTTTTATTGCCATTTTTTTTTTGCGCGCGAATTATTAAAATATTCAATAAAAAAAAACAAAGATTTTATCGAAAATACTTTGTAGCTTTTATTTATTTTTTTTCTTTCTCCAAAATTGCAGCAATTAGCATAAAATAGATGTGATAATAAATGTTTTATTTATTTTTGAATATAAAATTTTGTGCAAATATTAGTGTATTTGACGTTAGTCTTTTTTTATCTTCAACGTTTCAGTTTTAGGTTTCTATTCAATATTAATTACGAGAAGAGAACGATTCATTTGTTTTTTTTAATATTTCATTCATTGCATTCGCAGTTCTTTTGTTACATGCTTGTTCAGATGCATGAAGCATTGATTTAATAAAATTATCATTAAATATTATTTTGAGGAACAGAGAAAGATAAAAAGTGTTAATATGATAATATATTAAATTATTATTATAATTTATGATCCCGTATATAACAATTATTCATTTTTCTTTTTTTTTTTATTGCTCTTCTTTTTCTTCCTTTCATTATATATTATTTGTTAAATTATTGTTTCTCAATGCATTTGCTTAATTTATTGCTACTGATTGAAATGCATGCAGTGTGCTAATTTTTCTTCCCATTTCGATTTCTTTTTACATTTTCAAATAAAATGAATGAAACTTTTGAAAAAAAGAAAAATAAAGATATTTTTTTTACTGATATTTATGATAGATGGATAAACTTTTTTTATCCAATCATCATTAGGTGCCTAGGATTTTTTTTTATTTTTAAATCTTTCTATTCCTCTTTTCCTTATCACTTTTATCACACACACACACACACACACATTTCCTTTTCTATTCACATTTCAAATTCTCTTCTTAATTTGTTTTTTTTTTTTTTTTCTAACTATTCTTAGATAATGAAAAATGAAAACTTCGCTTGGAAAAAAAAGAAAAAATTGAAATTTTCTGGTAAAATTTTTTTATCTTTTCTTTGATCTCTGCTGTTTTTCCATATTTTTGCTTTTTGATATTTATATATATATATATATATTTTTTTTCTTTTGTGGCCGTAATAAACATTGCTTCTAAATATAACAGAAATTGTTTTCCAATTGCATATAATATATATATAAATTATCATAAATAGACAATGACAAAAGATTTCATTACACGGACTATTAGGCAAACTATAAGACATTAAATGAATTCCGTTTTCTACCCTATTGATATGATAAAATTAGATTTTCAGTACTTTATTATTAGAAAAAAAGAATTATTTCCGGGTCAGCGTGCTTTAAATTAAATAGAATAGTAACATTTGATTTCAGAAAATTACAGCTGTTTCGGATTCAAGAAAGCTACACACAATATGTTGGCATCATTTATTTAGGATGTAAAAATTTTTAACTTACTCGAAATATCTTTAGTGTATTCGATAGTAATGATTATATAACTGATCATCTGGAGTTTTCGATTTTTAGGATCATTCTCGACGATTCTATTCTGATAATTTCATTAGTTTTGATTGTAAATTTTATCAGATTAAATGATATTAAATGGATTAAAGATTGAAGAGAATGATTTTTGATTGATTAATAATCAATGAGTAGAGAGAAGAAATGAAAATTATTGGATAATAGAAAAGTATGTGATTTCTTGAAAACATTTCTCACATTTGATTAACTGTCATGTTATTTTTTTTTAAAGAATTATTTGATGAGTAAATATTGAAATGATGATAATAAAGAAGATGAAGGAGAATGTGTGTTTAGTATAGTTTGAGATGTTGTTAAGAAACGAATCAGTTAAGAAGATAAGCAATAGAAAATGCTAATAATTTCTTCTTTCTGCTTTAGCTTTTAACAGTTGTTCTGCTTTGTTGATTAGACGACAACAATTTATACTAATAATTTGAAATTTTTACTTGGGAAATACATATAAACTGGAAAATATGTCAGATGGAACGATAACGGTTTGTTTTATTTTTGTTTAACTGTTTAATATGTGTTATATCATTCAGGATTATTCCCCTTTATTCATTTATTTATTTACTTATCATTCTGTTGTATTTATCGCTTTGTTTTAACGCTATCAAATAAACAATTATTTGTTTATAGTAACTTTCTTCTTTTTAATCTAAAATTTAATTTAAAAAAATTGTAATTCAACAAAATTTCTGAAAATACATTGGAGAAAATATTGTTAAAAGTTGATGCAAAACCAAAAAAGTTACTACTGTATGCTAACATAACTAAAAGTATTATTAAGCATGACGAGAAGAAGAATTTATGGTTTAGTTGGTATGATGAATATCTTGGTGGAAAAAAATGCTTTAATTATGCCGGTACTGATTATTCCGGATAGATTCGGTTTATGAAACAATGAGATAGCTTTGATGAAATAATTTAAATTTGTCACAGTATTAAATGATTTATCAAAATTTGCCAAAACTGGTCCTTTATATTAATTTGTTAAACAAAGAAAAACAGCACAAGAGAATAATCTTTAATCATATTTGAAATCTAGATTACTAGAACTCACTGCAAATTAAATTTGGATGTAATTAAAAATAATTTATGATCATGCTTAATTAAAAACTATAAATATTTTTTCTTTAAAAAAAAGAAAAAAACATTAATTTTAAACTCATTTTTAGGAACAATCATCGATATGTGAACAAAAAAATGCACATGAAGTATGTGCCATAATGAATTGCTCATTTAGTGCAGTGAAAAAAAAGCAAATTAGTGGCCATCGGGGTGAAAAGGTTATTGCTGATTGTCAAATATCATTAAATTAAATCAAAATGTTGAAAAATTTGATTAATATTCATATTCATTACCATATTCTTTCCAAAATTTAAAATAAGCTAGAGAAATGATTGATTGATTAATTGATTAAGTGAATGATAAGAGATGAAAACAATTCTAAGACAGCAACAAATATTGATACACAAAGAGTAAAAGTAATGTTTATGTGCGGAAATTAGATAATATTGATTAATGGATGATGGATTAAATGATTATCAGTTTTAATTATATGATGCTTAATGCTTTGTGTGAATATAACTTAATTTTTATGTACGAAATGAATTACTTATAATTTTATATGACACAATTACTGCACAGCAATTTAGTTTATCGAAATAATTGAAAATGTTTGCAAGTGGTAGTTTTTACAGGTGAAAATTATAAATATTGATAGAGAAGGATATGCAGAAGTTGAGAAAGAAGATGGAAAGAAAGGTTATATTCCGACTTATTTCCTTGATCTAAATACGGTACCAGGTGATAATTTTGCTCAGCAAATAAGGTTCGTCAAATAATGTTTTACTTTATTTTTATATTTGTTACATTATGTTATCTTTAAAATAGCTTAAACCAATCAAAAAAAAGAGTTTAATTATCATAGCTGCAATAACTACTACTAAAAATGTCTTTCGGCTCAAATTTATTAACAATGATTATTACAACTGAGATAAGTAAGCTTTTCATTCTTATATGCTTTATAGTTTAGACTGAGAAATTATTTCAAATTTCGTACAATTGAAGATAAATGATCTTTCGCATTCCATTTCAAATAATCAAATTATGCATTTCAATTGTAAAAAAATTATTTTTTACAATTTGAAACGACTATTAAGCAATATTTGAAGTATAACATTTCTTATTTAACTGTAACAAGTAAACAAAAAAGAAAATGGAATTTAGCATTAAATATAATTTTATTTCAGATATCGTCGAAAATGGTATCATTTAGTGGATTCTGGTCAGGAAATATTTTTCAAGGATAATCCGTCCAATTTATTAAATAATATTTCATATTTAACTAATTTAGTATCATTTCTACCTGTTCAAAAGCAATCTTTTTCGCTACTATTTTCTCATTCGCATAAAAGACCAATTTGTATTGAACCTTTACAAGATATGAGAATAAAATTAGGCGAAAAAATAACTTTGATGTGTAAATTTTTCTCCGAAGAATCACATACGATTACTTGGCGTGGTCCAGTAATTACAGCTAAACGTCAATATGAAGTTACCGTAAGTACGGAGCTTTTTTTTTTTTTTGTTTCATTTATTATCAGCTAAAAAAAATTGCAATCAATTTAATAGTTTGGTTATTAGCAAGTTTGATAAAAAAACGAATAATTTTTTTTTTTTTTTTTTTTTTGTTATTTTTTGAATATAACTCAAATTTCCTTATGTAAATTTTTTTAATATTATATTTTCTATATATTGTGACATCCTGAATACTTTTTCTACCAACAGTTTTAATTTATTTTACACCTTTTCTCTTTCTATCTATCAATCGTATTGTAATTCACAGTTAGATATTGAGATTTCTCGAGCATTCTTTTTGTTAATAATCTTAAATGTTAGTAATCAAGGTTCAATCTTAAGTGATATTTTTGTGCATAATTATTCTCATAAATGTGTATAATTATTAATATTTTTATATTAATATATGCTCCTATACATAATTATAATTATTGGACTAAAAAAAAAGAGAAAAAAACTTTTCCTTTATAGACAAACAAAGAAGGCTATTCACTGTTAACACTTAAAAAATGCGTTGAAGAAGATAGTGGACAATACTGGGTTCAAGCTGAAAATATCTTCGGTAAATGTCATACTGTCGCATGGATTACAATAATTGTACCACCTGGTATTACTCATATTACAACATGTAAAGCAGTTAATCGAAATAGTGTATTGTTGCAGTGGAAAGATGCAAGAAAGGGTAATTCAAAAAATGTGTATTATGTTGTGGAATATAAACGAAAAGGTAAAATTTTTTTTTGATATTAATATTTCCTATATTATTAATTTAATTGCTCTTTCTCATTAACATTTATGCTAATTTTTTCATTTAATTCTTTAATTTTTTGATTTAAATTTCTTAGTATTATTTCTTCTGTTTATCTTTTTTTTTTTAATGTAATTAAGTAATATCTCACTGTTAATCTACACATACTTTCATTATAACTGTAAACAAATTAAGTTTTACATATTCTTCAACATATGATTATGCGTAAGTTTTTACATTGAAAATATCAGTATCCCCTGCAAAAATTAATATTGTTGTAGATATGAGCGATTATCAGATAGCAATGGAAGGTATCATTGGTACATCGACAGTTATCGCTGATCTCAAATCTACTTTCCACTCCTTTCGCATTTATGCATTTAACGAATATTTCAAGGGTAAAACTGGCCCAACTGCTGACGTTGACTTAAATTTGGCTTTTTTACAATCTTTATCATCAATTACTTGTATTGGTGATGTTAATGCTGAGGTGATAGTTATTCACGATTATTTTCTTCCTCGTTCTCATTTACTTATAATTAATTATTCGTTTAATTACTCATCGCTTTAAGTAATTCAGTGAAAATGAAATAATCGATAATAATAATTGATAAATACTTGAAAACATTAAGTTAGATCTTGATTTCTTCAAGTGTGATTTTAATTTTTAGATTTTTTAGATTTTCATTTATTATCTATTTCATACTTTCATATAACGTGTATTTTTATGTATATAAATTATCTCTTAGGTAATTTTTTTTGGTTTTCATTATTTTCAATTTTTTTTTTCTGAAATTATATTTTAACAATTTGTTAGACAGATTATATTGATGAAGCAACATATTCAAAAATTTATGACATTGCTCGCATAGTATACAAAGGAAAATTTGCTTACGTGAAAGAAATAATACGTAAAAGTGACAAGAAACAGTATGCAGCAAAATGTTTCATGCGTGAATTCACACAAACTGAAAATGAATGGGAAAATATTCAACGTGAAATCAGTGTTATGCGTTGCATTCGACATCGTAATATTGTTGCTTATCATGGAGTTGTTAAACTTAACAATCAATTAATCATGATTATGCAATGGTAAGATATTTTTATTCAATAGAAACTTAACAATCAATTAATCATGATTATGCAATGGTAAGATATTTTTATTCAATAGAAACTTAACAATCAATTAATCATGATTATGCAATGGTAAGATATTTTTATTCAATAGAAACTTAACAATCAATTAATCATGATTATGCAATGGTAAGATATTTTTATTCAATAGAAACTTAACAATCAATTAATCATGATTATGCAATGGTAAGATATTTTTATTCAATAGAAACTTAACAATCAATTAATCATGATTATGCAATGGTAAGATATTTTTATTCAATAGAAACTTAACAATCAATTAATCATGATTATGCAATGGTAAGATATTTTTATTCAATAGAAACTTAACAATCAATTAATCATGATTATGCAATGGTAAGATATTTTTATTCAATAGAAACTTAACAATCAATTAATCATGATTATGCAATGGTAAGATATTTTTATTCAATAGAAACTTAACAATCAATTAATCATGATTATGCAATGGTAAGATATTTTTATTCAATAGAAACTTAACAATCAATTAATCATGATTATGCAATGGTATGATATTTTTATTCAATAGAAACTTAACAATCAATTAATCATGATTATGCAATGGTAAGATATTTTTATTCAATAGAAACTTAACGATTATCCCGGGCAGTTGTCATGAGTTACAGTAACGACAAAGTTACAATTAATTAGCTATAAAACCAAATAAAGTTATTGCTAGTAAGAAATGTGTTATATGGAATAGTTTTAAGAAAATTAGCGGAATATTTCAATAAAATACATTTCGTTGACGTTGAGGACTTATAAAAAAGATTTTTAACATTAAATATGAAACATTTTTATTGGTATATTTGAGCTCTTTTTCATAATGATTGATAATTTTGATTATTTTTCCCACTAAGTATTGTTTTTTCTTCTTTTATCTTATTTTTTGATCAGAAAATGAAGTAAAGTAATCTAATTTATCTAATATTTCATTCAATTCATTCATAATTTTCTGACTAATCTAATCTGTTCCTATGATTTTCTGATCAATGATTTGCTTTAATCATTGTGCTATAATAATTAGCAAATATTAACAGGTTAAATGGTCCACATCTATTAGACTATATAATACGTCTGGGATATATTTCTGAAGTATTAATTCAACGATTCTGTAAAGATCTCCTATTAGCATTAGAATATCTTCATTCCTTTCAAATTGCTCATCTTGCTATTCGGGTACAAATAACTTCTTATTCGATTTTTTTTTTCTTTATTGAAAATGCAAATTTCAAATTTGACTGAATTAAAAAATTAAATAAATTTCCTCTTTTTTTGTTTGTTTGTTTTTCATTATTTTTATTATAGCCGGAGAATTTATTAATGCATATTAGTAATATTGTACGACTTGTGGTGATCGATTTTGGTTCTAGTCGATATTGTAATGAAGAAGCAGTTGTTTGGAATCATGGTGCAATTGATTTTGCTTCACCGGAACAAATCTCTCACCATGAAGTTACAATAAAATCAGATATGTGGTAATTAATTAATCAATTAATTAATATTAATTATCGATTTGCCATCATAACCTAATGCTATTTCAAGCTGAATGATTATGCATATATATGCATCCATAAAATTAACTTTGAAGATGAAAAAATTAACTGTATATAAATCAACTAGTAGTTAATTAATTGTTATCGACTTTCATATCAACTTCTACACAAATTATCATCGATAATAATTCTTATCACCTCAGCCTATTAACGCTATCTAATTTGTTTACCAAAATATATCAGAAAAATATTTACCAAGCTATTGTGATTCTAAATCACATCACATTACTATGATACACAAACAGTTTTTCAGTTTTCTAAATAATTTTGGGTTCTTGATTTTTTGTTTTATAAAAATTTTTTAACCGATAGGAGTTTTGGAATTATATTATATACATTAACAACCGGTAGAATACCATTCGACGATGAATATTATGAAATGATACGATTAAAAATTTTATCTAATATTTCAACAATTGATGAGATAAGAATTTATCGAATTTATTCACAGCCAATTATTGCATTATTGAAATCTGTAATTGTCAACGATGCCGGGTAATGGTTTCATTTTTTATTTTTTTAAAATAAAATAAATTTTGAATCACAATGCACTAATTTTCTTTAAGTCTCACTTTTATAATTTAATTTCCCTTATTTCTAATTCGTATTTGTAATTTTTCCGTAATTTCAATTATCTCAAATGGATGAAATAGAATAAAAGAGATTTGGAAGAAAATGAAAAAAAAAAAGAAAAAAAAAAGAAAAAAAAAAAACGAGATTGAGAAGGATTGTTAAATTTGGCAGTGTTTGTGAAAGAATAGGGATGGTTACAAATATTTCGATTCAAAATTTTGCATATCAAAAAGTAGAATTCAAAATTTGACTGGATATATTTCAATTTATAGAGCTCGATTGTCAGCAACAGAATGCCTGAAAAGCGAGTGGATGCAAAGTGTTTGTTTTTGAATTTATGAATCGAAATTAAAATATGTGTGATTTAGAAATAGGAAATCATGTTTATTAGACTTAGTAAGTACACTAAGTTATGGTGTCACTTTGTTCTCATGAAAAAAATATAAAATCAATAAAATAGTTAAGAGTAAACATCGCTGTTATAGGATTTCTCGGTGTAACTATTATCTTTCCTTGATGATATCAATATAATTTCGAACAAAACGCATTCAGCTAAAAAACTCAAATTTCAATTCGGTCAAAATCAAAACTAATTTAAAAAGCAACTCAAACAAATTTTCTTTTTGTAATCCAAATTAGGTTAATATGTGTTAAAAGTTTTAATTTTATTCAGAAAAAGTATTGAAAAGTTACTTTTATTTTTTTTTTTTTACCTTTTTGAATTAATTATAGCAAGGAAGCGAAGAACTTTTTCTCGTAGATTATTTGGAAGATTACAAGGAACGACGTAAGGAGCAACTTCGAAGGATTGGTGATTTATTTGAAGATTGTGAATGTGTGTCTATCTGTTGAATTGTATCTTGTCGTAAAGGAAACTTTTAAAAATAAAAACTGAAAATAAATTTTTATATTTTTAATTGGCATTTCTATTTTATGAAAAATTACTTATAGAAAGAAATCGAAGATTCCTATAAATAATTTCTTAAATTTCCTGCAGATTTTTTTTTCAATTGCTTGTTTTGTAATTCAATCGAAATTGCTGTTGCATATATGTATATTTTATTATGGTGCATTGGTGATAGAAACGATGTCTAGTGATGGTTTTTGAATTTTCTGTGTGATAGTTTTTTCTACTGAAATTTTATTTCATCAAATGTTAATTTGTTTCTATTATGTAAATGGACTCGAAACTTTCAAATATTTTCTTCCTTCAATACTGAAATATACACTTACACTTTTAGGATTCATCCCCATCTTTCAAACCGAATTCCAATTTCCTACGTATTAAGAAGTTACAGTCGCAGGCAGAAATACTTCTGAAGAAGAATCTATTCAGACTATTAGGTGGAGATTCCTTCTTTCCAAAAAAGGTACGGCAAGTGAACTGAAATGTAAAAGTATTAAACTCAAATGCGCATCGGAAACTACAAGAATGTTGGAATAAAAGAATATATTCAAAGCTGAAGCCTGCTTTTAATGGAAAATTTTGAATTTAAATACAATAGGAATGGAAGAGTACGGAAGGGAACAAGTATTCCGTAATCTAAAATGCATATGATAAAAAAAAAAAATTACAAAAAGTAAAAAGATGGTATGATTACGTAAACATAAACATTGAGCAATGTAATAAAGTCACGAAGAAATCATAAATTAATAAAATCCGATCAAATCATTTTAAAAAATTTTGTTAGAAATTTGAAAAAAAAGAATGAAAGAATGAACGGAACAAATGAATAAATGAGTGATAATTGATAACAAATGAACAAACCAATTGATACATAGTCGATATCCTCAATGGCACTCTCTTAAGGGTCGTAAGATTGAAAACTGAGAATGTATTAGATAAAGGTGAGAAATTAATGCAAAGTGCCTACGTTAGAAATTCGGAAAAACTAACAACAAACATCAAAAAATCTTTGAAAGAATTCAGGAAATTTTATATTAGTGATAGATTTATATTAAATGAATGAAAACGCAACTAATTTCAAATTGAAACTTATATTCTATATGCTTCATATACACATACTATTAGTTTAAATAAAAAGCAAAAGTTGAAGGGACATTTCTGACAAATCATATTAAAAGCTTTAAAAAATGTCACAATTACTCACAATGACAAAATAGCAAATATCAAGCAACAAGAAGACTTCCAGCTTGACTAATAAAAAAAATTTACCTATTAAACACAACGTATTACCTAAAAAATTTCAAAGTATCATTGTTTATCCTCTCTACATACTAACAAACGAATATCATTAATTCCAAACTGAAAAGAATCCCGAAAATCCCAACAGTAATACCACCCCGCCGATAAGCAAACAATTAATTATAACTAAGGAAGTCTGGGAAAGGAAAATAGGGTGAAGATAAATAGGGACTTATTGGGCAGAACTGCCCGAACGAAGACAATAGGGACTTACTGGGCAGAACTGCCCGAACGAAGACAATAGGGACTTACTGGGCAGAACTGCCCGAACGAAGACAATAGGGACTTACTGGGCAGAACTGCCCGAACGAAGACAATAGGGACTTACTGGGCAGAACTGCCCGAACGAAGACAACTACAATGGTCGCCCTCCTCCTTCTTACACTGCTCTCCCTGTCAATGCACACAAAGATGCCAAGCAGTCTTCTTCCGTTTTCTGATCGCATACAGTAATACTTTTCGTTCTGCACGCAAGCAGGTCGATTCATGGATGAATTTGTCTTCTTCCGAAACACTAACTATACTACTAGTGTATTGCATCAGACTAAGCAATGAGTGATTTGTCACGTCATGCTGGAGTGGCTTTTGTGTCAGTCAGACAAGACCGCCCCAAGAGAGAGAGGGAATAGAATATATGTTGACTTCTTCGGGATTTCTGTACGTATTGATGGGTGAATTCCACCATTCCAGCAAAATTTGCATATATGATCTCAGGGGAGCGATGTTGTCAGCAGACTAACAAAGATGAGAACTTCAGCGCAGTTAATCTGCTAGAAATTGAGGACAATTTCACCGATCTGTCGACCTGAAAAGGAATAAAGTGCTCCTGTAGTATAACCAAAAAAAGAAAAAGACTCCGCTGCAATCAGTAAATAAAGTTAAGCACTCAAAAACTCTGTTAGGTGAAATACATGATAATACAATATGTACTGGTTATTATTTTACTCCAAATGAAATCATGAAATCGGAAAAACTGAATTGTCCTTAAAATACAAATTGCAGCATTTTGTCAATAATCGAAATTTAAGTTTGAAATATTAAAAATGATCTAAAACTATGATTACCTTAAAATTTAGTTAATTTCGCGACACAAATAGTGTTGGAAACTTAATTATTAGAGTTTAATTTAGTATTTAAGTTGAAAAATGACCACACCGAATGTGACCAGTGCCCATACAGAACATAGAAAATAATCAGTTAAGTTCCAAATACGTCTTTTTTCTAATTAAATTATATTTTTTAGTAGTTTAAAAACTTAATAAAAATAAAATTTGATAATACCAGAACTTATTTCTTCGTTCTATATACAAAAACTCTTACAAATTGCAAGATTTATTCAATAATCAAATTCAAAATTTCAAATAAAAATTAATTTTAATTGCAGATGTGATTTGAAACTGTGAATATTTAAAAATTTAATTAATTTCGCGACACAAATAGTGCTAAAAACTCAATTATTAAAGTTTAATTAATTCTTCAAGTTGAAAAATGACCACATCGAATTTTAATTTAAAATTTGTTTTATTTGTAAAAATAAATTAGAACCATGACTAAATAATAATTTGATTAATTTCGCTACTGAATTAATGTTATAACCTTAATAATTAAGCTTTTTTTTGAAGTTTATTTTATTTTTTTTGCTGCGAAGTGATCAAATCGTAGATGACCAGCACCCAACAAATGCAAACTAAATAATCAATTGTCTATTTTTAGAAAATATTTTTAAAAAATATCTATTTTTTTTTAGTGAACTATTTTTTAATACCATTTAATTAAATTTTAACACTTAATTAAATTAAAATTTTTGTATTAGTAAGACTTTTTCCCAGTTTAATATGCACAAACCCTTCCAAATTATTGGTTTATCAAAAAATTCGATATTTAAATTTGTAATAAAAATTAATTTATTTGCAAAAATGAATTAAATCTACATTAAAATTTTTTTTCGCTACTTTAATATTTTTCAAAAAACTTAATTATTAAAGTCTGTTTTATTATTTAAGTTGTAAAATGATCACACCGTATATGTACCCATGTAATGCATATAAATTAATCAATTTTTTTTTTAATGAATTGCTATTTTTTAATAGTTTTAACACTTAATTAAAATGAAATTTGATATTACTAGTACTTATTTCCTAGTTTAATGTCAATTTACAAATTCAGTCAATGGAAGAAAAAATTTTAAATCGGAAAAATTCCAAGTAAATTTTCAATTTATGGTGCAGAAATTTTTATGATAATCATGTAACATCATCATGACATTATCACTTACATCAGATTTATTATATAAATTGATAGAGAGTTATGTTTGTATTGATATTATTTTAAGTCAAAGAAGTACATATATGAAATTATTATTTCATATGAAATCAAAAACAATGATTTTTTTGCTTTCTGTTTTTTTTTTTTTTTTTTCTCGACCATTTTCCAAATTACTTATATTATTATTGTTAAAGTAAATCTTTGAGTGGTCACATATTCTCATAAGATGACGTTTGCAATGCAATAAAATATATTTTTAATAGTTATATAATCAAACTAAGTCTGTAAGATTATATATATTTTTTATTGTTATAAAACATTTTCGGGTATATAAGCGGATCTCGTAGTTATAAGGTCATAGTGAAAGATTATGTATTGGTTATTTCTCTTTTTGACCACTTTTAACACATACCTCTCTCTCTCTCTCTCTCTCACTCTCTCTCTCTCTCTCTCTCTCTCTCTTAGGAAACGAGGAACAATGACCACATAATAAAGTAGCCATCACACACAATTTCCTAAGATTTCTATCTGTATCAGAACTTTCTCGTTATTTAAAACTTGTTTTATGTATAATTCAATTGAGATTTGAAAATTTTAGCTTTTTTAAGAACTTCATACCAATTCTGCAAATATTTCTCTAATCATTGCATATTATCATTAATGATGCTTTCTCGATCTCTTATCAAAACAACACTTTAAGCTTACACATTATTTTTAATACAATAATTCCAACTGAAATCTTCATTTTAAAGTTTAAAAAAAATCGGCTTAAAGGTTTTTTGAAAGTTTAGTTTAAAAAAAAAATTAATTTTAACACAAATGATTCATCTTCTAAGCAAAACAGCAATGTGAAAGTGAAGAGCAATGCTAATGTCCACCTGTATCATACAGAATGCACTGTTGAGATGCGAAATATCTCATAAATCACTTCGCCTTACTATAAATTATTTTTTCAGAAAAACGTTTAAGAAGTCAATGACGTGGTCACAGTGCAACACGTCAATCTAAATGCGACAATGACCGAAAAGATCGAATACGCCAGCATAAAATAACGAATACTTAAAAATAAATACGAATATGTCCAAGTATAAAGGATTCTGAATTCTTTGCCAGTGTGATAACGATAAAGTCAGCAAATAGATGATCTTTATCATTTAGAAAGAATCAGTACAGAATACATCAAATGACCAGCAAAATGACCAGCTATGACCAAAGAACCGACAACACACATCACAGATAAACGAGAGAGAAACCAGCGCACGTGTAATGTGAAACAACAGAAACATTTCATTCATAATTTTTCATGAATTTCTTTTTTCCTTCCCATGAAGAATGACATGAATCTACAGTATTTCGTATTATAGAAAAATTTTAAGAATTTAGGAAAAAAGAATATGAAGAATGCTAAAATATCGAAATTAAAAATAGAATGCAAAGCATGCAAAAAAATTAAGCCACGAAATCATTCATTTACAACATATAAGCTAGAAACATTTGACACAATTGAAATAATAAATTAAAAGAATTATCAGCCGATTTGTAGCCCTAACTTCCAGTTACTGCTCAACTGCATATCGCACGGAAGTATTACGTTAACCCCACTCAAGAATATCAAGAATATTGTAATAAAAATATAATAAATACAAGTACTGAAAAGTGAACCTCTTTGTTCCAATTCCAATAAGTACTAAACTGATCATTTAAAAAAGGGCTTCTAAATAAATAATAAGCATACATACTGATATGAAACGATTCCACAGTATTTTTTTTTTTTAAGAGAGAGGAGAGAGGGGAAGGAGGGAAGAGGGGGGGAGTGAGGGAAGGGGAAGAGGGAGAGAAGTTCAGGAAACAAAAAGAAATATTTATCTAAAATGTTTAAAAAGTAAATAAAATTCACACCCATGTTCCTGCAATCTCAAAAGAATGTCATACTTATAGATTGTTCAAAACTGCATAAAGTACTCGTTTCCGTAAAATTATGTAACTGTTTTTGTTTAAATAAGAGATTTTTCCTTCCTCTGAAAATCTTTTTAAACAGTTCTGGAACCACTTTCAAAAATCAATTTATTGATTTAACAATTCCCATGCATCATCGTCCCAATCCTTTTTTGACTCTGCTTTCTTGCTGCCTATTGTGGTTGGATTTTCCTGCACGCGAGCCATTTTATTATCATCCAAAGAGAAATCAATTAGTGGGGGCGTTTTCTAGAATGAGTGTTATTATGGGAAAATGTAAAATTAAATAACCATTAACATTTTTATACGATAAACAATGACAATCAGTAATTTTTTATAAGAGAAATAATGGCCAGCATTAATACTTTTCATTTAATGAAGTTTTGCAAAAATAGGAATACAAACTTCTCTTTTCGCTCTTGTTGATGTTTTGTTGCTAGATTGTTTCAGATCTGTTGCCGAATTTAATTGAACTGAACTGCCTATACATGGGATTACCAAATATAGCAATGTAAGCAATCCATGAGAAAAGATAACTTCTAAGAATCTACTTGCCACATTTAAAAACATGGCTTAAAATAGATTACTCTGTTCACCTATCGTTTTATTCTGAGTTATCTGATTTACTTTTGAAAGTTTTACGGGACTGGTGTGCAAAACGGAATGCAAAATGTTCATACCTTTTATAAAGAAAAAAAAATTAGAAGAAAGACTAACCGTAATTGAAAAAATCAGATAAGACTGAAGGTTTTGGAGAGTTACATTGAACTGAATTATTTCTAAAATACTTCAAATATATTCTGATGATTATGAGGTGACTATTATGAGATGCATAAATAATTTTCGTGTAACCTCATATTCGCGAGCTTTGTTATAAAATAAAAAGTACTCACTTGCATGTTTGGTAATTGCTTGATTGTTCCTCAAATAATCTACTCTCTTGATTTTCTGGTGTAGCTAAGTCTTCATAATCGCTAAAAATGAAATGAAGTCTCAGTGACTTGATTTCTACGCAAAAATCTAAACCCTTGTGTTATTTAATGATTACAAAAAACGTCATAACTGTTCATCGATAGTAAAAGTTTTCTGGAAGTAAAAATTTCTACACAGCAAATAATTTTTAGGATAAAGAACAATAATAACTGCTAACCTTTTTCCTGGTACAACGAAACCTTGTAGAGATGGACTTTTGATAAAATTTGATATTCCCATCCATGATCTGGACCCTATTTCGGTGGCTTTCTGCGCTAAATTTCCCAAAGCTGGTTTATTTAATAATGACCCATCTCGAACCTAAATTCCCGTAACGTTAAATAAGATAATTTAGATCACACTTAAGTTATATGAAAATTCCTCGTGTGGTAGTTTTGCTTAAATTCATAAAAATTTAGCAGGATTAGATTACTAACGCTTCCACTGAGTTCAGTAGCTTTAGCTGTTGCTTGTGAGCTGATATCTTTGGCATACATAGCAGCGGTTGTAGCCCCCTTACTTAGCATATTCCAACCCTAAAAAAATAGTTGAGAATTATTTATCTGCAATATCTAATCCCAAATTCCGCAAATTTTTTACAGCGGTAAATAAAATGAATTGCAATAAGTTATTAAAACTTACTACAGAAAGAGATGACAAAGCACCAGACAGCAATTCATTGGATGAATCGGTATTATTCATCAATACGTTGCCAAAACCTTGATAGCGACTTCCACTAAAATTTTTAATAAAATTATTTTTTCGAGAATAAAAAATCGTAAGAAATACACAACTAGAACGTAAGTGCCTTTAAGATCATTAGAAAACTCAATCACAGAAAGAAATATAGTTTGAACTGCAATGTAGCTGCAGTGAAGTAGAGACAATAATGTAGATCTACAGGAAATGGTAAATCTTAAAGATACAAAGATATAAATCGATTTAAAATAAGAAAATAAGTAAGTACGAATTATTATAATCAGAATGATATGAATCATTTCCAATCTGAGTTGTGTTTCCTCCATAATAAGCTGATAAACTATTTGAACTGCTGTTTCCACTGATTTGGGAATGGGATGGATTTAACGAATTGTTCGGAGTATAATTTTTCGCTGGTGACGTTTCAGCTGACCATTCACGGCCTTCTGATTCTGTTAACACCTGAAAATAGGAAGATTAAAGTTTCTGTGAAAGTATATTTTCGAATGTTTATTTAACTTGGTGTGACAAATAGTTAAAAATCATGCCTTATCTCTTAAAAGAGCAGCAGCTCTTGAATTATATTTTTCTCGAAGAGACCAGTTTGATCGATAATCTGATTGACTTTTTAAAAATTCTAATGCTTTTGTATTGCCTCCAACTTTCATTTTGTTCAGCTCATTATCCTTCCACTTATCCATTGTTGTGGATCGCACAAAACTAAAACAAAGATATTTTTGTTTATATTACCATACGACTATCAATACAAGAGGTTTAAATAAAGTTTAAACATAAATAAATAAGACAAAATTATTTTCGACAAAAAAGTATGAGCAAAAACAACCTGACGTGTACACCTAAACCACGATGCAAACCAGAACAGTCCAAACATAACCAAATCCCATACGTTACACTGGCCCATTGAGGATTACTAGCGCCACATTCAAAGCAGATCTAATAAAATAACATACATGACAAAGAAAACTGATTCAAGACTAAATAGCAAGAACTGAACAGACTTTTTACTCCTAAAAACTTAAAAAAACCTAACGTTATTTCCAGGAACAGCTCGAATGTCTTGAATAACACGTCGCGTCCTTGGACTAGCCATAGTAATTAAATGATTTCAGCACATGAGAACACACTTCAGTAAACAAATATTGACCAAATTCTTTTACTTTTATCTCTTTTTAAATGATTGTTCAACGTTTGCTGCTTACTAAAATGATTATAAGATTAGATAGATCGTAATTATATGAGCATATCTACATCAATCTACCAAACTTTATTAGCATTTGAGAGAAATATCTGTTACAAATTCTGTTCAAATTCGTCATAACTTTTCAACATATCAATGCATGTCACAAAGCAGTGGACACAACTGCACGCTGATACTAAATAAATCTCTTGAAATGGATTTAGGCATGGTTCTTCTAGCTTTCATCGAAATATCTATAGTTTCACTTAATTATCAAAAGTAATAATGTTCTTTTGAGGAATTAAAAATAACGACACGAGAACTTGATAATTTTCTAAAATGAAAATAGTTAAAGCACTGAATCGAAACACATCAACATTAAGTACAGCAAATCTTAAGATCTAGAAATATCTTTAGACTCTTGCTTTCTTTTTCAGTGCACCCTGAAAAAACGCACCAAAAAGAAAGACGTTGGGATTGACGGGTAACTGGTGAGACGAACGAATGACGCAGGCAGCGAGTTAAGGTATCACGTGTGTACGTGATCCGGGATCGTAACGAACTCGTGCCCACGTCCAAGTATTACTGAAGCTAACAAATGCCTGAAATAAAAGTAATTGAAACAGCACAATTTCTCTCATACCCGTTCACGTCCCTAAAGCGTGCAAAATTAGCCACGGAACGTTCGCAAAACCCAACGCATAGGCATGAATTTATCTCGCAAATTGAGTACAAACCTAATTAAAGTAATTTATCTGATTTGATATGAGAGCCAAGTATTTCCAATTCAATTTTTTGTTTGTCCAAAAAGACTTGAATGGATCATTGATTTTAATTAGTCGCATTTCTAATTAAAATGAAGAAACACTTTTTTATATATGTTTATTCTTCTATTAATACTTTGTTCTCTTCAAACAATTATTTTATGTCTGATAAATTGTAACACTCAAATTTCTGTATGAACGAATATTTAAATTTTTTTAATAGAATTATGTAAATTACATTTATGTTATAAAATAGAAATTCTATGTAATGATTAGCATTGCATTAATTTACTTTATTTTACATTAAGTGATACTGAGGTGAACTATTTGATATAATGTTCTGTAATGTACCTATTAGTTTCATCATATTTCTCCTTTACTATTTATTATTATCATCAAATGATATATATGTGAAAGCGACGAAAGATTTGAATAAGAAGACGAGAGAAGAACAATGGTTAGCAGATAGAAATCTATTTTTGGATATTGATAATGCCCGTTCGGATACAATTGATAATATTACGGATGCATTTCTTAGTATTACAAACAGATTAGTAAAAGCTGGTCGTTTAATGGTTGAAACTAAACGTCGAATGATTATGTTTATTGATGAAGTTGGTGAGATGAGTTATGATTCTAAATGGGCTGTGCTTGGATGGTTTGCTGCTATGTTTCTATTTCCTATTATTACAGCTGCAATTGTAGCTATAATTGTTGCTCTCTTCTTTCAAAATGAACTCTCTAATTTGCAAATTTTTTTGCATACTCGTTGGGATGTAGGTGATAAGCCGGATATTATTACTGAATGCAAAGCAAAACAACGTTTGGGTAATTTAGCTTTGCAAAATTTATATCATAAAATGAGTCGACATCCGGAACGACTCCTTCCAAAACAAGCAAAACGTGATCCAGAAGCACTGGTTCGTGAAAAGATCGAACTAACACAATTGAATGAAGCAAATCCTGCAGAAGCAAATGCTCAAGGTCCATAGTAGGCATTTATTTCATTACCAACGTAAATTTATTAAGAATTCGGATTTAGCAAATTATGCATTATGAACGAGTGCTAAAATGTGAAATTATTCCTTTGTATCTGGTTGTGTATCTGAAACAATAATAGAAGATCCGGGAATAAAAATTCGAAGCACATTTTAATCAAACAAATGTTGTGTTCAATAATATCTGATATGCTTTATTTCAACTATCTAGACTTCATGGCTCCTAAAGTTGATACTTTAATTATGCACATTAATGCAGATACTAAAATGAATTACACCGCAACATTAATGATAGAACCAACCTATTACACTGATTGGATAAGAAACCTTAGAACTTATCACAAATTTCTGAAGGAGGAAATCAATGGCAGCCAAATACTGGGAAAGAAATTTCCGGTCTATAATTTTCGTGCTTCAATTGGTTTAAATCACTCTTTGAAGTGAAAACAAATAGAATTGTAGAATAGAGTGAGTGCATATTGAATGACTGGAGCAAAGATTTCTCCGTGCAGTTTATAATATTAGTATGCTACAAATTTCTCCACAAATTAATATAGTCAAGAAAATGCATAGTGACATTAGAAACAATTAAAGCTACAAAGTTTAATTGAAGAAGTGTGCTTGATAAAGCACCCTAAATACCTGTTTCGTGCATAAGGACTACAAATTGAATGGTTTCATCTTTATATCCTAAAATTTGATTGGGTAATTTTTCTTTTATTGAAAATACTACTGAAAGAAATATAAAGATGAAAACAACTGTACAGTGAAACCGGGAAGAGCATAAATTAAGCACAGTTAAAGAATTTCCAGACTAAAGAAATGCAACGTTTTTTTGTGCAGAAATATAATAATTAGATGCAAAATTTTAAATAACAGAATACAAGTAAATAGATAAGGAAAGGATACAGGCTTCACAAAGAACAACCACCATCTTGAGTTGGTCGATAATGATCAGGTTGTTCGGAAGAAATCATAGGTAAGCTTGGCGTGAATAAATTTACTTGTACAGGAAAGAATTTTCCCGCTATATCCAACTGATAGCTCCCATTTTTAATGTATTCAATCGTCATTTTCTCCTTAGTTTCAATATAACCAATGCATACCTAACAAAAAGACAATTTTGTAACTTTACAAATTTTATAACTACATTTGAGCAAATAAAGAAATAAAAATTCGTCCTCTACATTTAAATAATCACCGAAAATTGTTTGTAACGAATGTGTATAACTAATGGAAGATTACCTGACAATTAAGAGTATAGCCATAAGCAGCCGACGTTGTACGTCCAACTGGCTCGCCATATCTGTAAATTAATTCACCACCCTGTGGCCATGGATCATGATCTAAATCATGATTACCCACGAGTAGCTGAACAAATCGTTTCCGAATGCCGTTTCTTTTTTGCTCCAACAATGCGTCTTTCCCAATAAAATTCTTCTGGAATAAAATCCAATTTCGGAGAATTTTTTTTTTTGAAAAACATGGCTTTTCTGGGACTGAATACTTTTCATAGAAATATAAAACATTCCAACATTTTAGATTAAACATACATGAAAATCAACACGATATGTACGTCCACACTCGAGTGGTGTTACATCCGTAGAAATATCTTGACCCCAACAAACAAAGAATTTTTCGATACGCAACTGCCTCAAAGCATAATACCTAAACACAATCAGTAAGAAACAATAAGCTGCAAACAGTTACTAAACAAAGATATCGAAAACCAACCCTGCATGCATAACACCATATTCTTTTCCACGTTCCATCAAACGTTCATAAACATTTTGTACTACCTGAAAAATATTTTCTTATATTTAAAGTAATAAAAATCTGAAAAATGCTTCCAAAACTTTAAGTTTTTTAATAAATTTATTTATGGTTACCAAAGTTTGAATTCAAGTTAGTTAAAAAACATTCTAAAAAACCCTAATTTCTTTTTTTTGTGGTCTTCAACAGTGATATAAAGATAGTTTACTAAGCTAACAAAACAAATAAATAATAAAAAATGAACATAAAAACAATTCATTTAAGCATCAAGTAAGCTCTATTCATGAACCTAAGAAACAAACACCTGTGTGATTCAAAAAGATGAGAAAAAATTATATCATTCACCTCATTTGGGATATACATTTCCCATTCAAGTTCCCCGGTATGCGTCAAACTTAATGCTCGGATTCCAGTAGCCATTCCAATAGCTATTTCCTGAAAACCAGATCTTCACTATTGCTTGCAGAAGATAACATCTAAAAGTACGCAAACTGGTTGAGAAGTCAAAAAGGAACTATCAAAATAATAAAGATGAAACTTTTTTCTCATTTTTTTCTGTTCCTTGCCATTTGTTCTTACATTAAAATCTATTTCAAATAAATATACTCGTATAGAAAAAGACGGGAAATCACATCTGGACATCGATTCTCCCGTAAGTTTTTCCATTAAAGCTCGTGAGCTTGGTCCAACGACATCTAACACAGTATAATGCCCCGTAACATCCTAAAAAGATGCATTTCCATTTCTGAATATATGGATAGACTTGAACTTTAACCAGAAAGCCGAACTAAAAAAAATGACTTTTTGTAGCTTCTGGACTTTTACAGAGTTGCGAATTTTAAATTCAAACGATACTTTAAGGCAGAATGCAAAAAAAAAAAATAATAACTGCTAACTCCAACGTAAATTTTATGTCCCAATTTCTTCACCCACTTTTTTAACCATAAACAGAATCGTAGTTGCTGTACAGGAGGCACAATAGCAAAGAATCTGCAAAATATTCGTTAACTGCCAGACACTCAAAATAAACAAGAAAAAAGTAATCAGAATGTACATTTCTATTTCAATAATGTCTACGAAAATATGCTTAAAAAACGCACTGGTCTTCTTCCAATCTGCATATTGCACAGTCTGAGACAAAACCGCCCTGTTCGTTTTGCATGCCAGTGTAAACTATAGAACCTACTGGAACATTAACATTTCCTGAACAAAGGTATTGCAAAAATTCCACCACATTAGGACCCTAAAATAAAAACAATAGACAAATAACAATAAAATACGGCGAAATTGTAATCAAAAAATCATTAAAATTTTGATTCTAGATGTGAGGAAGTAATCAGATGATTCAAGAATAGTTAACTGGATAGAAAGTGTATCTGAAAATATGAAGACAGAGTGTCCACCGAACGTACTTCAATGTTGAATTTGGCAAAACTGGACAGGTCAATTACTCCAACACGTTCTCTACACGCATCATATTCACGAGCTACAAGTTCAAACCATTCTGGTCTACCAATCAGCGAGAACTGTCCACTGTAGAAACTTAATGATGTATCTGAAAAAATTCACTTGAACAAACTATTTTAAACATAAGAATAAGAAATTTTTTAGTTTTATTCACTTAGAGAACTATTTCACATCACAAAAACTATTTTGTACACAAGCTCAGAAACAAAAGTAGTGTATTTAGAGAGTAACCTTACTCTCTAAGCATAAATTCTGAGTGAATAAACCACACTCAATTGCTTATGCTTTCTGGAAATAAAAATTTTCTTGACAAAAAGCAACCTTCTCCATCTTCTTCTGTATACCACAATGGCCTCTCATATCCCATTACTTCACCAAATACAGCTCCAGCTTTTTTAAGTTGATGATAGATAGGGGATGTACGCAAATTCCGAGCAGTTTGATATTGATGATATTCGTATGAATTTGTAAACAATTTGGCTAAAATAATTTAATAATGAATAATTCAAATTCTTTCAAGGTAAAACGGAATATTAAATGATACCTGCTACTTCAGGAACTCGCTCAATTAGATATTGTGGACTCGCGTGCAAATCAATAAATCGCGTTACTTCTAGACGTGTAATGTCAACCGGCAATGTCTCACCACAGACTAATCCAGCAACTAGATTTCCAGCGCCACCAGCAAGTGCCAATCCTTGTCCATTGAAACCTGTTGCAACATAGTATCCTTGAATCTGAACAATGGATGAATTTACAATTTTCAAATTTTTAACACAAAGAGTATTTGTTTTAGAAACTCAAACGGTCACTTTTTCAAAATTCGACATTTCAAAAATAAAAAAACCTGAGCTATTTCACCAATTACGGGATTTTTATCGACAGTATATGATTCAGCATTACAAACCAGTTCACCACATTCTGTCTCACCAAGAATGTTGCAACGATTCAATAAATTATTCAGCGTTGGATCTATAAAGTTCTAAATATAATATATTTATTTCTAATTAAAAGCAAATAGTATTATAAATATTTCTGAGATTGGAAAATATTCAGGTTTTTATTTTTGTGACTTACAAAATTTATCCCAGTCTGGTGATGGCACTATCCATTGCCCTAGTATTCTCTGACGACTCAATGAACGGAAATCATCTTGAGTAAAACCTGCACACAGCGTCCGCGATTCATCCATAAACAGATAATTTTTCTCATCCACGTGAGTAAAAACTAAATAACACGTAAATTGTAAAAAATAAATAAATTTAAATATTTTTAATTAACGCTATATCTAGAAGCAATATACAAATTAAGCATCTTACTTGGCGTACTGCTCTTAATATCTTTATCGGGCAATCGCTTCGTTGACAGATATGTATATGTCGCAGGATGAGCAGCGATAATCACATGGCCTGCTGGCAGTTTACTAACTCGGGAAGTACCACACCACTGTAATACATTATGTGAAGATATAAATCAAATCCAGACACCTAAAGTAGAATTCGAAGATTCTGAATTTGAAAAGTCACAAAAATCAAACTTGATTCGTTTTTACTTAAAAAATCAAATTAACTCCTAACTGCTTTGAAGAAAACACGGATAACTTCAAAAGGAACTCACAATTCCAGTAGCATCAACATAGCATCCAGTTTCAAATTGTCCTTGATTGGTAAGTACTCCTACTACTTTTTGTTCTTTATCAACAAGTACTTCTTCAACAAAACACTGTTCGAATATTTGTACTCCTAAAAAATAAA